TGATAATCGTAGGCTTACAATAGTAAAATAGTGCCAGCAAGTAGATTCATTGATTGAATTGTGAGGTCGTTCTACAACCGAGTATAACTACTATGATGATAATAATTTAATTACTTTAGATAAAAAAAAAAGGGTATGAATAATTAAATTTTATAAAATACAGCTTTCAATTTTGAATTACTAAATAAAATATAAAATTTTAATTATACAAAGTCCAAAATAACGGGCTACTCCCTTTTATAGCTATAATAACAATAAAAGGTTCTTCATTCTTCTACCATTGAAAAAATAAAATGCAACCAAAAAAATATTTCAGTCAGAATAACCGAACAAGCTTCAAAAAATAAAAACAGATTCGACATTAGATATGGCAATGGTACCCCCTACAAACTTAACGATTTCGTTTTCCGTAAGGATACCCAACGATTACAAAAAAAAAAAATAATAATAATAATAAAAGACAAATATAAAGAAATTTAAACAATATTAGAAACCTGTTCACAACTCGTCTGGTCGGTTCGCGTGCTGCTCGTATAATGCCTTTTTTTAATCAGTCTGTGACGAAAGTGGCGGCGCCACTGTCTGTATAAACTTTACGCTCTGCTTAATAAATTACATTAACGTAATAAAATATTACAAAAATGTTTTTATGTTAAAAAATAAGTAACTAATATTATGTGCCAGTATTAGTGATAGTTTCTACAGTTTGTGATAAATACGTTTTGTAAAAAATCCACGGACTGATACTGTTTTGTGTTAAAATCGTATGTGTAATCAAGTTAAATTGAAATCACAACCGTACAATAGTTAAAACAAATAAAATAAATACTAGGCCATTATAATACATAATCTTCACTAACAGGCAAGACATTACGAACATTTAATTACAATAATCTCTTTAATGCGGGTGTTTGGATAATTGTTATCAATTCAAATATCCACTATTGTAAGGTACTGACATAAACCGTTATAGCACTTGAAATGAATTCGTAAATTAGAACAAAATATTGCAGTAGATCTGGTTCAATGGCAACGAGTCTGAATTTAAATATAAATTCGCAGGATCTAATCCTAACAACTTATCTCACTTTTTGTGAAGCCAAAACAATTTATCTACAATATTGTGTGCATTGTTATTATTCTGTATAGTATTTGGGCTGCTTATTACAATATTATTAACATATTACGAAGCTAGATTCAGTGTAGTCTTACCTTCAAAGTTTAAAGAGCAAAACTGTAGACTAACTAAATTGACAACATTTTAAATAATTACCAAATGAAATTGCTCCACATGACTACAGTCCCAGCCTACAAGAAAGATATGAAGGGAAAATTAAAATATATACCGTCTTATGAAAAAAAAAAACCTGGTTTAGCACTAGTAATAAACCATTGACCAAAGTATTATTATTAATACATAAAGAAGTTTATCTCTAAACTGTGATTCGCCTATGGTCTAAAGTTAGACCTGCGATGCCCCTAGTTTAACTGTAGTACTGAGAAGTTCTCTGTTAGATCTGGATTCGTAATAATGTTACGTTTATTCCAAGTATTAACTTCAGGGATGGTTTAAACCAGGATTATTTAGACACGTTTCGTCAGAATTTTAACAGATTTTTTGTAATAAGACCGATAATGTCATTAAGAGGAATACTACTCTTAAAGCATAATTAGCGGAAATGTCTGGTTATTGTGAAAGAATTTGTTTAGAAAGGGATCGCTTACAAGAAATCTTCCACGCATATGACCAATGCTCATATGAGGCTACATTGGAACGAATATCTTTCCTAGAAAATAAATTGAGTGAAGCTCAAGCTCAAATTTCTTTTCTCATATCGTAGAAACAAGTTATTTTTCAGAAAAATACATGCCATTTATATAGTGAACTGATTACTTGCAACAACATCGCGGGATCTGAAAAAGCTAAGGCGATAGATTTAACCGCCACATCTACCTGTTAATTCGATCAAGCGAAATTTTATGGGTAGTAATCAAACAAATAAATATGTCAAGTTAAACAAATAAATAAAAAAAGAAAAAAAACGCAAATTTATTCAAGACACATGAAGTAAAATTAAAATCTATATCGCTCAAAATGAAATAAAAGAGTATTTATTAGCTATAGAACATTTAGTTGGGTTAAGCCCTAAATAACTTATATCGTATAATCATTACACATCTGCAAGTTGTAACAGTGTTAATGGGACTAGAGAGTCACAGTCTATGACATTTCCCTCTGTACAGGATACTTTAGCTGAGACTCAACCAATAGAAAATGTAATTGACAACTGTCAACTAACTAGTTCTTTTAAAACGTATATCATCTCAGATAGTTTGCGTATACATATGGGTAAAATATTATCAAAACCCAGAAAGTATTTAAAGTAAATGAAATGAAAGTACTGCTTCCCGGGTTTTTAATCTTTGGCACATAACTAACAAAATAATAAATGAAAAGAATTTTGACAGTAATAGTACTATTATACTTTGTTTTGGCAATTCGTGGAATGTAAATAAACAGGATTATAGATTGTATACACGCACTCGCAAATATTATTGAGCAGGGTGTAGGTAGACTAATAATATCATCTTTGCTAATATTAATGCATTGCATCAGTAAAATGATAAAATATTGAAACTTAATTTGTGATGGCACAATTTGTCAGTGCATAGTGAAAAACTGTTATTTTTTTTTATACAAATAAAATAGTTAATAATTGTTATGACAGGAGGTACAATACGCCTTTATTGTAAACAAAAGTTGGCCTATACTAAATTACTAGCATATAATTTATTTAACGATAAATTAAATGTAGTTTAACGAAGTACTGTAATAAAACGGCAATAAACATAGAATGTACTAAATAGTATACCAATAAATGAATGTATTGTATAAACTGTTTATTTTGGATAGATATAACTTTCTTCTAAAGATTGTATAGATAGAAATTATTTAATTTCTATTGACTAGAGTAGTACCTGTAAGGGCCTACTTATAAAAATAAATATTTCAATTTGTGTCACCGTTCATAGGCCGCCATCTTATGACAATACTTATCAACTACCCTCGAAGAAACAAAAGTGACAACATCAAAAACAATAAGAGTAGTGACTAGTGGCACATGAACACATGAAGTCGATCCTGAGTTCAAAACTTCACAGATCCATGATAACCGTGATAGCTGTACTGAAGAAAATTAGCAATGAATAATGAAGCCACTTGTCTGTACGGGTGTAAACACTTAGTCTGACAACTGGGCACAACTTTTTGCTATTATTATTACAAAAATATGAAAGCCACTTGTCTGTACGGGAGTAAAAACTCAGTCTGACAACTGGGCTCAACTTTTTGCAATTATTATTACAAAGATATGAAAGCCACTTATCTGTACGGGTGTAAACACTCAGTCTGACAACTGGGCTCAATTTTTTGCTATTATCATTACAATTATAAGCAAGCCACTTGTCTGGACGGGTGTAAACAACTGTCTGACAACTGGGCCAACATTTCTATTAAGTTTTTCTTTAATAATAGAATTATAACATTATTTCTGTTACAGATTAGGATATTCGCATGCTCAGAGCACGAGCAGCTCATCAGGATAGCCGTGATAGCGCAAACTCAATACAATGACTATTTTCATTGTTAATTGATTAATTTAATTATATTCGACCTGTATTGATCAAATCACTGTTATTTAATATTTAACATAATGAAGTATTAAAGTTAAGGATTATTATAAATATTGTAAATAACGCCATCTAGTACTTATAGACCGAACTAAGTTGTTTGTCATAAGATAATCGTTACGCCTGCTTCTCTCCCTACTACACTGAATTCGGTCTATAAATACGGAGGTCGGTAATTGAATAACTCTCTTTCTGTGTGTAACCGTTGCACCGAATACATCTCTGGAATTTGATAAAAGTGTTTATTATTTAATTATCGTAACGATGAGTTGTCTGGTATCAATCCCCGCTCTAACATATATATAATTATATATATATATATTTCATTAGTCCACAGATGAGTAGCTGATGGCATAGAAATTCATAGAATACTAATCATGCAAGTGTCGTACTTGACCGATATTTTAGGTCACCAGTGCAATTACTTGTGAAGTCTCTGTAACGTAATGACATGTACTATCTAGTCATCATTTTTATATTAGACTAGTACAGCAAAATCTTTATACGACCTCAGGTTTAGCGGTTTAATACACCACCTCACTATCTGTGATCGCAAGTTTTATTCTATACTAGCTGTTCCCGCTACTACATACGTCCGCATGGAATTAACTTTAGTTTTCTAAAATAAAAGAATTTTGTCTAAAATAAAAATAGCCTAAGTTACTCCTTATTACATCAGCTACCTGCCAAAAAAAGTCCCGTCAAAATTGGTCCAGCCATTTCAGAGATTAGCCGGAACAAACAGACCGACAGACAGACAGACAAAAACTATAAAAAATGTTATTTTGATGTATGTACCGTATATATATTCATATGCATGTAGTAAAAAACTGTTATTTCAATATTACAAACAGACACAATAATTTTATTTATATGTATAGATAAGTATTTGTATTCATGAATTTGATTGTACTGACCTGAGCATTTTTTATTTACAAAAAGTACTTAAATATTTTTATCAGCTGCCTAGTGCCCGTAGTACAAGATCAGGTTAGGTAGAGACTAGATGGCGCTGTGCAAATTATCCTCGAGTACTATTATAACCCTATATTTATAATAAACGTTGCTAGTTGAACTAAATTGCAAGATCGCTTTGAATATTCCATATCGTAACTATTAAGATATTCTATATTTTTTTTAATTACAAAACAGTTTACTTTTTTTCTTAAAATATAATTGTCTATTGATGAATAACTTTTTAATTTTGGTTAAGTATTTTCTTAAGGTATATAATAAAAAAAAAATTTTTTTTTTATTTAATCTATGCATATTTATTATTTTAGATTCAGATTACGTAGTTCGATACTCACTTTATTTACTTTCACGAATCAATCCATCCTACATAGAACAGAACACAAAAAAACACAACCTCAATAAGACATTCCACTCACAGCACTGGCACAACACTGATTACAAAATATATGACGCAATACGAAGAAAGTAAAAGTGTAACCGCGATTCCGAATTCGAAATTTGAAATTTACGCGCGAAACGTGCGTAGTATCACCTGTCGGGCGACGGACTGCGCATGCGCGAGCCGCTGGTTGGTCAAGGAGCAAGGACCGTGCAACCTGCTCGGCCGGATGTAGGGTTGCCTTGCCTACAACCTGTACAATCGACCGCGGAACAAAAAATGTTAATAATGGCGCGGTGAAGCCTGACGGGGACTCATGTTGGCTAATCAGGGAGTATTCATTGTAATGTTTCATAATAAGTGCCTATATTTGCATGATATTACTGGCATAAAATAATCGGTGACCGTAAAATGTATGCAATAACAACAAAAGTTCATATTATTCAAAATGACATAATAACGATAGAAAAAGAAATAATGTTTATACAAATAAACTTATTGTCAGCATTTTTTAATAAATAAATTTTTTTAATCGGAATGCACACTTATGATTAGAATAGGGTTGCCATGCGTCCGGGTTTTCTCGAATTTGTCCTAGTTTAGAGGACATCCAGAAGCATTCGGGATAATGTAATTTTTTTAGTTTTAATATTATAATCTATATTCATAAATTGTGTTTCATTTTAAGAACAAAAAGTCGAACTGAATATTAAAACAAATTGACACAAACTGTAATAAGATACTGTTCTGTTAGGTACATTTAAAATGATAAAAATTACGACATTTAATTTTAAGGTTTGAAAATAATTAAAAAGAAGATATATGACACTTTTATGATTGTCCGGGTTCTGGACTCTAAAATCCGGGGTTATCACGCGTCTTGTCCTGGTTTCCATATTTTAGAGATGGCAACTCTAGATAAGAAGAATGAGGAAGAACTTGCTCTACATGATTTTATGAGTTTTGATTTGATTTGATTCATTTCTAACACATAATGTGTGTATACCATAGACGCTGAATAAACTTGCTACAATAAAATTGATAAGTATGGATATCGAAAACTTGACTGGCCGCTTTTAGATCTGTTTTCTGTTTTTAATTAGTGATTCTATATGATTTACTTAATAGGATAATATATTTATTTATAATATTATTTCAAAATACAGGTACATAGTTCGTTGTTGAATGTGGCTCTACATCCCGCAATTGAATTTAAATTTGCAGTCAAAATAATTTATTCATATAAAACATTTACACTAAGTATATACGGTACTTACAACAGAAGTTTAAATAAAAAAATTTTTTGTCTGTCCGTCTGTCTGTTTGTTCTTGCTAATCTTTGATGAGACTTTCACTTGCAGATAGCTAATGTTATAAGGAGTAAGTTTGGTTTATTTTAGACATATTTATTTTAATTTCACACGCGATAAAGTTAGCTAGTAAAATTAAGTATCCACCCTGCTAATGTTGAAAGATACTATAATTTGACGACCTCAATGGTCTAGCGGTCTAGCACACCGCTTTACGTCCGATGGTCGCGGGTTTGATTCCTCGCACGGCACAAACATTTGTATTCATGAGTATGATTGTTTGTATCGGTCTGGTTGTTTTCTATGTATAATATGTATGTATTTACGAAAAAAAAATTATCTGTGTACTTGTATCATTTATCTAATACCCGTAACTTTTTAGATAACTTGACTTGGGACTAGATGGCGCTGTGTGAATCGTCTTGAGATTATTATTATTATTATTGATGTTTTGAAATATCTATATAACTATAATGTTAATAAAATACAAAACTTTTTCTCTTTAATAATGAAATTTTGTATAGGTGAAATACAACTGCGTATTCCACATTCCGTCCGCATATTGTCAAATAGCTAAGTTGATTTTATATCAACTTTGCTAATCGACTGTAACTTAAAATTGTTATTTTTTAAAAGAGCAACACGCAAATTTTTGTTCATTCTTATTGTGATGAGTCTGCTATCCAAGTAAGCGGCTGATTAAAAAAAGTTATAGTAGTTAGTAATATGACTATCCAGAAGTAATTGTATTAAGTTTATTTGATAAAAAATATTTTTATTTCTATTACACTAGAACTATTTGTAAATCACTGCTTTGTCACCGTAATTAATAAACAATTAACTAATAATGAATATAATTAGGAGATTTCGATTCGAGTAATTAAGAAATCGATTTTAATGTCTATCACAAAATTGATACAACTTTTAACAATTATGACCCGTGCATGAACATCGGTTTCTTGTTCATTCCTTATGGAATGAAAAAAACATACTTTTTAAAACATACCACAGAAAAAGTAATTATGTTTTTGTAGACAAAAACTTAAAATTCATAGCTCTGATAAAATCTGATTGCATTAAAACTGAGTGCGTAGGTTTCTATATTGATTATCACATGCCTCTTACCTGTTATTGTGTAATTATTTATTTTAAAAAACATCAATAGATGATATTTATAAATTTTGTATTCAAAAGAGCAACAGATAAATATCTTGCCCATTCTTCTACTGATGAATCTGCGTTCCCAAAAATGATCGCATAAAAAAAATATGATTATTACAATGTACTGTGCAATTATAACTATTTATTAAGTTTATTTATATATAGATTATTTACATTTCTATTTCGAGCCAAAGCCATATAGAAGAAAGTCAGTAGGCAGCACTCCCGGGACCTACAGGCCCCGTCATACAACTTTGAACATTGAGGACATGTTCACGAATATCGGTTTCCATCTCATTCCATGAACCCTCTCTTGAAAATAATATCTAAATTAGTAATCGTCCCACATTTCAATACACACCACAGAGTAACACAAGTATTTTTGATAAATCTGCGTTCCCAATAAAAAAAAACAATATACTGTATAATTATAATATGTATTAAGTTTATTTAAATAGAGATTATTTCTATTTCCAGCCAAAGCATATAGGGCAATGTCAGTAGGCAGCACTCCCGGGGCCTACAGGCTCCGGTAATGATGAATTTAATATTGTAATGGGTGAAAACTGTGATCGGTACAGCCTATGCTATAAATAATATAATTGACGTAGTGGAGCAACCTGAAACAGTCATGCTCGCTATAAAGTTCAAACTTGTGGCGGCGTGGTGGGCCGGGTCGATGTGCTCTCTCAAATATGGTTGAGTACAATGATGGCTGGCTCATACGTCATACTCGTGAACGGGTGCTGCTTGTGGTGACTGGTCTGTTCAGGTTGTGAACACTGATTAATTTTTTTGTTCTTTGCGATAGCATATGCTGGCGGTCACTCTTTTCTCTCAAATTTGAATTTTAATGACTGTATATTATTATAAACATGTGCCACTATCATTTGAAAAAAATACGAGCTGAGTTTCTTGTCAGTTCTTCTCATCTCGATGTCATTCCTAACTGACGGTAGATTTGACATATCATAGGAGTCTGTAATAGACCTAAATGAATAAAGATATTTTGATTTTGAATTTGAATTTGATGGTAAACTTGTTGGATACCTGCTCCTTGCTACCAGAGGACCATGTCCGGTGGACCTCCACGCGATCTTTTGAAAAAAAAAAACACCTATTTGCCACGATGGTCAGACCTGTTAAATGTCTTATCCTACATTTAATATTATACATAGAAAACACCCAGACCGATACAAACAATCTTACTCATTACATTTAATTAGATACCACTTCAGTATATATCGTCGGTTAAATAGAAAAATGGCAGTATTCAAAATGTACATTTTTTACAAGACAAGCATTTAAAGTTTTTTCTCATTTAAATTATTTTTCTCTTTAAAGTTTTAATTTGACACAGAAGTATTAGGTATATATCATATTAAAATTCTTTAGATAATGATTAAGACTTATATAAAAGGAGGAAATTCTAGCTTCTAATTTTGGAAAACGTCATTTTTCTATTTAATCGACGATATGTATGTCTTTGATGGCGTTAATAACGTTATAATTTTTTTTTACTATAGTCGATTATGATGATATGACCACTAGTAAAAATAAATAGATAAGAACATATTATCGCAAATGAGCAAGACATAGAGACAAAAAAAGGCGGCCATATCACTAAATAAACAGCTTTAACTTACTTAGTTTGCTCATTTCCGTATCCTCTATTCTATAACTCTTCGCATCGTCGCCTATATACTTAGATATCGTGCGCAAAATCTGGTTCTACAGTTTGACAACCACTGATTACAAGCATATATTGTATAGACAATAAGCAAACTTTATAGTATATTCAGAAATTACAGGGTTTCTCTGTAATTTCTGCATATACTGATATAATTTTGACAGCCTCTGTGGTTAAGCTCTCTGTCTTAATTCCGATGGTCGCGGGTTCGATTGCACCTTATTATTTTATTTTATATGACCTTTGTTTATTTGTTACGGTTGGATAAAAATCTTTTTGTATTTTTTATTCTGATCAAATTTCGACCACTGGGCCACTACGAACTAATATTTTTTTTATATCTATTGATCAAACATTTTTATTCATGAGTTTGTATGGGTCGGATGTTTTCTATATATATTATGTAATTACATTAAAAAAAAATATCTCAGTATTCATATCAGTTGTCTACTCATAGCACAAGATTTACTTACCGTAGGACTAGATGGCGCTATGTTAATTATCTAGGGTAAATAAAAAAAAACATAAAAAAATAATAAATAAATAAAGCTTCAGAAATGTACAACTGTATGTATGTCAAATCAAATCAAATCAAAAATCATCTAGGACATTATAACCGCTTATGTACATCGAATATTTTGCATTATAATTTTTCCCTACCGTCCAGTTCAGTACAGATTCAACTGAGAAGAAACTCAACTGAATTTCTTTTTTTTAAGGTAGTTTATTTACATTGTGAACTTATTGAGGTGTCTATGTCTAACATTAAATGAGAATCCCGTGCATGAACAACTATTGCCATGCACGTTTGTCATAAGAACATACCTTTACGTTTGAAATGGGGACATGTTCAGGTATGTAGAGCATAGACAAGCAATGCGACTGCGACCGACTTACGAGTAGGTACAAAATATACAAAGACGCATGTAAACGACAGTCTGTTGATGAAAGACGGGGTTTCCTTTCAGCCATTTTTCAGTGTACAGTTCTAGTACCGGCGTTGATGAATCTTTCTAGGTACAGTTGGTTTTGTAAAGACATTGGTGTCCATAAATATAGTTCTACTTTTTTTAAATTATAATCATTTGATTAATCGTATTACAGGACTAGCTGTACACGCTACTTCGTCCGCGTGGAATTTAACTTTATTTTTCTAAAATAAAAGTACCCTAAATTACTCCCTATTACAGCAGCTACCTGCCAAAAGAAGTCCCGTCAAAATCGGTCCAGCCACTTTAAAGATTAGCAGAACAAATAGACAGGCAGACACAAATTGTAGAAAATGTTAATTTGGAATACGTACCGTATTTATATTCATATGCATATAGTAAAAAACGGTTATTTCAATATTACATATTGAAATAACCGTTTTTTACTACAGAACACTCCAATTTTATTTATATGTATAGATATTAATAAACAATACATTGCCCAGAAGTATAACTATTCTTGTATATATATCTTGGGTATGCTACCTCGATGTACAGAGTTCGATTAAGATGATTGTTTTTTTGTTTCTACTTATTTCTAGTATATCAAGAGTATATATATATATATATATATATGAATACATTGTAAATTAACTTGCTTTTAAAAAAATAAAATAAAATATTCAATTGAGTTTCAATTTAGGTAGAGAAAAAATTAAAATTATAATGTAAAAAATTTGACGTTCATAAGCGGCTACATGAATATGTCCTACATGAATAAATGATTTTTGAATTTTAATTTGAATTATTAACAAACCCTTTCCCCCCACCCCCTCTCTTAGACCATATTTTATTTATTGAAAAATAAAAAACGTTTATTCTACTATTCGTATAATACGCACAAAGTATTAAAAATAAACATCCATTACGGCTTACGAAAGTTGCTCATTCAAGTTTTTTTTTTGTGGAAGGCTTCGCTGGTATTTTACTTGCGTTCTCACGCTTTACGGCATATTTCTCTTTAGTGACATCTACTCGTGCCACAGAGCAATTACCTCTAGCACCAAGCCTGCTACTCTATGAACAAAATATTTTTTATATGATTCTGTGCGACTATTTTTTAGTAAAGCCTATTTGCAGGCCATTCTTATATTAGTATTTTTTTTTATATTTAAATAACAGAAAATGTACGTTCTCCGAAGAATCAGAGTATCTAATCATTGGGAGAACGTAAATTTTCAGATAAAATAGCTCTGCCTGCAGATATGGTGACCAAATGAAACATTCGACAGCTTATGACGTTTATTATATAGTTCTTGCTGGATGGTGGATGCTTATTGATCTTAAGAAAATCTCCACAAAATGTTTTTTCTCCCTACCAGCCGCTTTTTGCCTTTACAGTATATTATTTAATGTAGTAACTAATCCTGAATAATGTTTAGATCATATTTAAGTTTGTTATTGTCCAATCTTATTACTCTGTAATCTATTATTATAATGTTTTATGTTTACTTTGTTAGTTGTAGTTTAGAACTTAACTTAGTGTGCTATCGTTGTCGTCGATCTCATATTGTATTATTTTACTGATAAAGGCTATGTACGAGCTAGCATCGTACATTATTTCGCAACATTAACATTTTATTTTACATTTCACATTTAATTAAAATCAGTTCGCATTCGGTCATCAAGGACGCCGCGCGTACTCATTACAATCATTAATCAGTTATATTTTAAGTTTCAATATACAGTTTTAATCAAGTTTCTATCAGTATCATTTATCAGTTTTACCTATCAGAATCTTTATAGTTTCGGTACAACCCGAACAGGCTATAACAGAATAGCAGAGAGGGTGGACTCACTGCCCTCACTGAGTTGTAGACCGTTTTGTCTCATTCATTAGTTTTAAATTTTATTATTGTATGGACAACAATTGTATTAGTTTTTGTTTGAGACAAATGAAGATTATTATTTTTGTTGTTATTGTTATTTTTATTATTTAAATAACTGCATAACAAAATATACACAAATATACAAACTAAACTCGTAAACTAAGCTCGTTAAGCTGAATTAGAGCGAAACACATGAATTCCACGCTTATGACTTTCTTCAAAGTCTATCTCGGTCCATTTATAAACATATTGCATATATAGAACATAGTCATTATTTTCTCAACGGATACATAAACAGTTCTGTCGTTACTATGGCAACGAATAACATTGACAAAATGTTGTCATTTTGAAAGAAATTTTACATTAAAATTAAATGCAAAATGTTTCTTCGTTGATATAAAAATAAATACTAATAATAATGAAGTTGTTAAAATTTCATTTGAGGTACCACCCGCCGGGTATCATACTTGAGTATTCTCAGAAGGGGATCGTCAAGAACAAAGACATTGATCTGCTTGAACTAAATTGCAAGTGAGTAATCTTATATCTTATTAAATCGTTAATCCTAGTTGAGAAAGCAAAGCTAGATGAACATAAGATAAGAACGCAGAAGAAATTGTAATATATAGATTTAATTTATAAAGAAATCGTCCGCTAGGAAAGCAATTTTGAAGAATCTGGTAAGAATGCAGAAGAAATTGTAGCGTACATAGGGTTAATTTATAAAGAAATCATCCGCTAGGAGAGCAATTTTGAAGATTCTGGTAAGAACGCAGAAGAAATTGTAGCATACATAGGTTTAATTTATAAAAAAATCGTCCCCAAGGAGTGCAATTTTGAACATTCTAGTAAGAACGCAGAAGAAATTGTAGCATACATAGCTTCAATTTATAAAGAAATCGTCCGCTAGGAGAGCAATTTGAACATTCTGGTAAGAATGTAGCTTGTAGAGTTACATCAATATTCTCATTTAGAGACAATCTCTCAGCAATGAGACAAAAAAAATCATACTGTAAAAATGCTGGTTTTCAGCTCAGATATAAAAGAAATCGCAAGGCATCTTCACCAGAAAGAGGCGCTGATAACGGAAGAAGTGCGCGAACAGCTAGAACAGTGCCTGGAAGTACTTAAGAAGAGAATCGAACACGAAGGTCCTGCAGGGAAGCGTTTCTACATCTATAAAACTCTTCAAACTCACGTCCTACCGCTGACCAATGTTGCTTTCGATAAAAATGGAAAAAGGTAGATTTCTACTATTTACAATCTTGAAATAACATTTTATAAAGAACTACATTTTCGAAACTATTTATTATTATTAATACATTTTATAATAATTATTAATTATAACCCTTCCGACTTCCACCATATTATGGTCTCTACGTTTTAGAGCCAGCACAATTTGTTTGACTAATTCTTGTATAAGCTAAAAACCCCAGTAATGAACTATATTCAAAACGAACACTTACTTCCAGCTAAGTTGAGTTCAAATATGCTCAGCGAATAGTGATCCAAGTGCTTTTTTCCTTCTTCCTGGACAATTCACACAGCGTCATCTAGTCCCAAAGTAAGCAGAATTTGTGTTATGGGCACTAGACAACTGATACTTAGATATTTTTTTGTACATACATAAATAATATAGAAACACCCAGACCGATAGAAATAATCATACTCATGAATACAAATGTTTGTACCGTGCGAGGAATCGAGAGCATTCTGCTCTCTAGCTCCATATAAACTTTACTTGCGAATTTTATAATCCTTCGTCCGCGCCATTCTCTTAAAAAGCTGTACAATGTTTTTGCTTCGAGTATTAATGTATAGATTAGGTATTTACTTGGTAAAAGCATTGCAATAAATGTAAATAATGTAGATGGCGGAATAGTGGCAAATCTTTTCAGTCATATTGTTTCTTCAAATTCTTCTCTTCAGATGCCTGTCCGGCAGTTACGACAGAACGTGCAAGGTGTGGGATGTGGAGTCTGGGAAAGAAATAAAAACATTGACCGGACACCAGAACGTGGTGTATTCGGTAGGATTCAATTTTCCACTCTGGTACGTATAATTTCAATATTAATATTCATCAATCAGGCAATAATTTTATTTGAAGAATATTTATTTTAATCTTTAAACTCCATATAAAAAATATTACATGCATTTAAATGATTCAATTCGACAATTAAATCACTATAGATCGATTTGTTGTTTGTTCGTCAATAAGTATCATTCTTTACAATCTATCTTCCGTTTTGAAAGGTCCTCAACAAACTGATCCAATACAATCCACAGCATCTGAGGATCTGATCTGAGTAATGCTTTAGTGCTTAATGCTCCCTCAATGACATCAGCGTTTTGCTCCTTGAGTGATTCTCCATACTGAGATATGCTATTTTGTATTGCTGTAGCACACACATGCAGGTTTACCCATATTGTATTGCATTGTTCAAATAATCTATATTATATACTATTTGTAATTAAGCGTATGTGTACTAAGATACAAAAAAATCTTATCTTTCTATCTCATCTATTTATCTAAAAATAGCAATACACTGGGTATTGCTATTTTTATTGCTATTGGGTAGTTATCACAGGCATTAATTCATATAAATCATAAATGGTTCTTAAGAGTACACTCCATTAAGAGAATCGTCTAATTTATAGTCCTTCCAATGCCATAAAAAGTTATAAAATAATATTCTATCAGCTAAATCCAATAATTACAATTATTCTTCAATAGCAACCGCGTAATATCAGGCTCGTTCGATAAGTCAGCAAAAATATGGGATCCCAATACTGGGGAGTGTCTGGCAACGCTCTGGGGTCACCAGGCCGAGGTAGTGGCCACTCAGTTCAGCGGTAAAGGTGACCTGGTGGGGACCGGATCCATGGATCATACTGCTAAACTCTTTGATGCTAGGACCGGTAAGACGTATACAATAATAATAGCCCAGAAAAATTCACACAGCGCCATCTGTCTCATCCACAGTACCCAGCAAAGTATAGTTTTTGCTATGGGTAATAATCTACTACTACATATTGAGATATAGATAATTGTTTTATTAAATATTGTATCTAATATTCGTATTTAATATTGGCCAGCTGTCGAAACTGATCTTATAAGTTTGAACATTATTAAAGTTTTAATATCAAACACTATACCTCTATAATCGCAGGCACTGGCTGTCGCACAGGCAATAAACAAAAGTGCATATATACGTGTGTATGTCAAACAAATAATAGTGTATGTAATATTTTTTTTATTGATTTAATATATCATTATGCATAATTTTAAAAAAATGGCGTACTCCTTTTATACATAACCTATAAATCTGTTAAATTTCATGCTTCTCCGTCAGCACAATTTTCTTAAAAAGAGTTCTTATCCAGGAGTCGAGTCTATGACCATTGAAAAGTAAAACAGTGTGTAAAACCGCTAAACCATCGATTTTACCACTTGTTTTGTTGGATTACTCAGGTGCAGAGATCCATAGCTACGTTGGACACACAGCAGAAGTAATCGCATTGCAGTTTGATCCTAATGAAGGACAGAGGCTGATCACTGGCTCCTTCGACGGCACCATATCCATGTGGGATACCAGACTCAAAGAGTTAGTAATTAAATATATAGTCCATCGTGTGGTAGAGAGAGAAATTGCAAGTAGTTCCCGGGACTTGTGACTGGGGTGTAGGTTTTAGAGGCCCCTTTGTCAAAGTACGTCAACATTCATCTTCACCGCTAGTGTTTCTCTCCCTGCCCAACCAAATAATGTCGTAGGTACTAGTGTCTTAGATACACGTTCTTGTATGAACTTACTGCGTTCTAGACAGGTCAAAATTTTTAATGATCGTTGAAGTATGCAATATTACGTTATCTGTGGTTGAAGTAATCTACAGTTGCCTAACGGGAACTATGAAAAGTCTTTGGAGCACCTATGCTCAGATTATTATTCCAGGCGTTATTGTAGTACTCTGCGAATTAATGTGAATACAGAATGTTATGGTCATCATAATAACATGTCTTTTAAGGTGATTTTTATCCATATGGTGGACTATAAGCTTATTTGCTTTTCCAGTCAGGACAAAAACTAGAAACAACAAAAAGGTTTTTGTCATCATTTAGATTGTCAACATCACAACGATCTTACTGTACAAGTAGTATCTACTACTTGCACAGTAAGATCGTTGTGATGTGTAACCTGTACATTATAATTTAATAACTACCCACCCCGGCTTCGCAGGAAATATGTATAATACAGGTAGACTCTACACTCTACATGTATTATACATATAAACCTTCCTCTTGAATCACTCTATCTACTGTTTTAAAATCCGTTGAGTAGTTTAAAAGAAGTAAGTTAACAGACAGCGGAAGTCACTTCACTTTATACTATGAAACATGTTATAACTGTTCTTCATATATAAACTCTTCATTTCCAGTCGAGTGACAGTGCTGTCGGGACACGAGGGTGAGATATCGAACGTCCAGTTCAACTGGGACAGCTCGCTGGTGGGTTCCTCTTCACTGGATGGCAGCGCCAAACTGTGGGATGCGAGGAGTAACGCCTGTCTCGCCACCGTGGCTGGTCACAGCGATGAGGTAACAGAGCTAATGTCAAAATTAGATTAGATAGATAGATAGATAAATTCTTTATTCACAAATTACAGAGAAATAGCATACATGAAGAGACAGATCATAAATATTATTCAGAATAGGTGAGAGAAACTGTTGGAGCACTTGATACGACACGACGAACTTATTAATAATATTATCGAAGCAAAAATAGATATAAGAGAGGAAGGGAAAGACATCGCAAGATACAGCTATATCAAGCAGGTTAAGGAAAAAGGAGTCGTGGAGTCGTAGTATCGACAACTAAAAAGATTGATAGAAGATCATAGAAGGTGGCGAGAGCTCCACCGACAAGAGCTCAGCTCTAAAATTATGAATGAATGAGCATACATGAGGTACAGTAAATATACATGAACAAATAAAAGATATGCAGGTGATTTTATGTGCTACAAAGGTGAATAGGCAACTCAGCATAAAGCTACAGATAAATCTGCAGTGCTGACAAAATTAGGGGTTCATCCAAAAAATTGGGACAAAATTAGAGTCCATCCAAAAATTGGTCACATGTTATTAAGAGGGGATATACAAAGTGTGACATTGTATAATAAGGGACGATCTAGAAATCCAGGACATATCTTACCCTCCTAGGAGAGATCTTATATTTTATGATGTTACTTTTCAAATTTGATCATCATCATAATTTGGCAATCTGTTTATTTTAAAGTTTAAACTTAATCTGATGAGTCTTATTTTTCTTAAATGTTTGTATCCCTTTCAAATGATGAGCCTGGTCCAGTGAATCAGCTCTTAGGCGCTGTTTACTTTTTTTAATCTTTCCTATCGAAAATATAATATTAAATCACGAAATTTTAACTATGAAAATGTGACCAGCTGAGACATGTAGGTGAGGAAGTGAAATTACTGAAAATAGAGTGACGTAACTTATAAGCTCCTAATTTCTTCACACAACCACGCACGATCATATACAGCGTGCTCCACTATTTAATAACAACAATTGTAATGGTAATAATAATAATAATAGCACCAGTCACATAAATGAAAAGGCTCACGTTACACACACACACACACTGCACTTACTTGGTTTCGGCCCACAAGTGTGGTAAAAAACCAGCTAAAGCTGAGAAAATGCGACAATAGTGAAAATAATAATAATCTCAGGACAATTCACACAGCGCCATCTAGACCCAAGTTAAGCTAGTCAAAGCTTGTGTTATGGATACTAGATAATTGATAGAAATATATAGATATATATTTTTTCGTAAATACATAAATAGAAAACACCCAGATCGATACAAACAATCATCCTCGTGAATACAAATGTTTGTGCTGTGCGAGGAATTGAACCCGCGACCGTTGGAAGTAAGGCGGTGTGCTAAACCCCTAGACGCCTATGCACGACAAGTATCTGCAGATTCTGCCAAACTGAAGAGGAAACGCCGCTTCACATCCTATGTGGTTGTAGCCCACTCATGCATAAACGAAATATCTCCTTTGGAAAGTTTACACTCTTTCCCAAGGAGATAAAAACGATCGCTCCTAAGAATATCCTTCAATTCTTGTCCCTGACGGGTCTAGGTGGCGAACTCTGAAAAGGGCGAGCACAATACATCTATGTAGGTCGCAGTGCTACAGGTGCTACACATCTGACAATAGCCCAAACAACCCAATAAAAAAAAAAAACCCCTAGACCACCGAGTCTGTCAAATAATATTACAGTCTAGTGTTACCTTTTCATTGGTTCATATGTCCCAGGTGTTGGATATCTGTTTCGACTGGGCTGGACACCGCATGGCCACCTCTTCAAGCGACTGCTCGGCGAGGATATACGACGTGCGCGCCGACTTCAAAGAGCTGGCTGTGATGAAGGGGCACAGAGAAGAGGTCTCAAAGGTAAACTTATTGCTTTACTTTTTTTTTATTGGTAATTCGACGACCTCGGTGGTCTGGCGGTTTAACACGCCTTACTTACGATGGTCGCGAGTTCGATTCCTCGCACGGCACAAACATTTGTATTTATGAGTATGATTGTTTGTGTCGTCTGGCTGTTTGCTATGTATAATATGTATGTATTTACGATAAAAAATATCTATGTATATGTATCAGTTATCTAGTACCCATAACACAAGCTTTAGCTAGCTTAATTTGGGTCTAGATGGCGCTGTGTGAATTGTTCTGAGATTATTATTATTAATATCATATACAAATACAACTTACACGTGTGTCTTTTTTTTTAATTTTATTTAGGATCACCAACGATTGTTACAATCATACAATAAATTGAATTACATGTATTGGGTTATGGTCTAAATGCCCAATTATTTATAGCCGAACACTGCATGCAAAATAATATACAAAAATTATTTAATAAAAAATCTTAATCTTATGCGTTTTTTTATTATGAACTAGCTGTCCCGGCAAACGTTGTTTTGCTTAAAAAAAATTTAGGGGTGGACTACCCCCAACATTTAGGGGGGAAAATATATGTTGGCCGATTCTCAGACCTACTCAATACGCTCACAAAATTTCATGAGAATCGGTCAAGCCGTTTCGGAGAAGTATGGGAACGAAAACTGTGACACGAGAATTTTATATAAAAGATATATAAAACAATCATATTCATTAATACAAATGTCTGTACCGTGCAATGCAATTTATTTATATGTTTGTATAGATAAGAATTATTATTACGTGTAGGTGTGCTTCAGCCCAGCCGGGGGTTGCCTGCTCACAGCATCATCAGACAGAAGTGCTAGAATTTGGAATACCACCACAGGGAACTGTATTCAGGTAACAATATTGATGAGCGGTAGTTTAAAACATGTAAGAACAATTCAAAAGTGCTTCAATGTAACTTACATTGAAGCACTTTTGAATTGTCTTTGTGTATTTGAATAAATGATTTTCTATTCTATTCCATGGTTCTTACATTATATAATTAAATGAATAAAGAATATTAACATCAACTAAAATCACCACATGCCTTTTCGTGTAAAAGTCATAAACTCTGAGCTTATTCATGAGGGCCATAGTTAGCGACCACGTCTCTGTACCGTAAGTCATCACTGGCAACACACATTGGTCATTTATTGTTCAGATACTTTTAAAATTAACATGGAACATTACAGTAAGACGATATCTTTCAACAGCGTATTAAGTGTTATTTTTATGAATTCCCGGTATTTGTCGACTATTCAAGACTTTATATAAATTTATTTCCAACTGTTGGGCTAAAAAGGACTTGTATCCAGAGCCGTAAAATATTAAATAAAAAAAAAAGTAAACCTTCATCTTGAGACACTGCGGAAATTTGGATGAAAGATATATCGAGCTTCCCGAACGCTGCGCATCCGAGTTGAATTCGACGATGGACCTCTTTCTCAGATCAAATAGAAATAGAATTTTCTTAAATAGAAATAAAAATAAAAATACTCTTTATTCAAATACACTCAATATTATGTTAGGGTTCACATGGATATTTTCGAAAAATCTGATATTTTATATTAAAAGAAGGTAGTTTCATTATTACTCGGTATCGTTAAACTAGTTGCATATAACCCCCACTCATATCTTCGGTCTTTGAGCACAGGATGTGCTGGATGTATTTTAATTGCTAAAGTGAATTGTGTTAGAGACATAGTTAAATTAATGTTATATAGTTGTTATTTTATTATAATACATAATTTTACTAGTAGATATATCTAACAATTAGCACTTTTGAATATTCATATTTTTTATTCCACCACTCATTCGGAACGCAGATTCATCACAAGAAAAATGAGCGAGAAACTGCGTGTTGCTCATCAGTAGATGTTTTTTATATAAATAACTAGCTGTACCTGCTACTTCGTCCGCGTGGAATTAAACTTAATTTAAAAGTAGCCTAAGTTACTCCTTATTACATCTGTTGCCAAAAAAAGTCCCGTCAAAATCAGTCCGGCCATTTCAGCGATTAGCCAGAACAAATAGACAGACAGACAAAAATTGTAAAAAAAAATATTTTGGTGTATGTACCGTATTTATATTCATATGCATGTAGTAAAAACGGTTAATTCAATATTACAAAAAGACACTCCAATTTTATTTATATGTATAGATGAATAGATTACACAATAACAAGTAAGAGGCATGTGATAATCAATATAGAAACCGGTACACACTCATTCTTAGTGCAATCAGATAATATTGTCAGCTCTAGGAATTTTAATATTTTTTACTAAATCTGAGTAGATGTAACTCGTTTTCAGGTGCTATCTGGACACCAAGGCGAGATCTTCTCATGTGCGTACTCATACGCGGGAGATGCTATAATCACAGCCTCCAAGGACAACACCTGCAGGATCTGGAGATGATTGGACTGGTGGCTCTAGGAGTCACTAACCAAAACAACAGTCCTTACTCAATAACTTGTATTATGCTCAGAAGCGTACCGTGCCTTGGCTATGGGGCTCCGTATAAAAATTTGTTTGGAGGCCCTTACGAAGGGTAAAGATTTCTCACAAAAGAAAAAAAATGGTATATAATTAAAAGGAATATATTTATCACATCATTATTATCTATGTGTCAGTTTTTCAAATTTTTTACAAACAATTAAAATTAAATATACACTCTCCTTGCCTTATTTTCAGTAAACACATTTATTAAATCATTTATAACTGATACGGGAAAAAAGAAATTGCTTTTTTTTACTTTTGTCAATTGAAAAAATGGGATATAGGGGGCCCCCGTCGCCCAGGGGGTTCCGTGTAATTGATACGGCAGATAGGGCGGTAGCTACGGCCCTGATTATGCTGTCATTGTTACACTAATTGTAATATATTCTTTAAATATTATTATGTTAATTAGATCTGTATTAAAATTTTTAAAAATGCAGGTAGTTCGAAATTTATTTTATAAAATAAGAGTAATAATCATATTCCTGTACAGTTCACACAGCGCCATCTAGTCCCAAGTTAACAGAGCTTGTGTACTAGAGAACTGATAGAAATATATATATATATACTAGCTGTCCCGGCAAACGTTGTTTTGCCATATAAATTAATAACGCTATAAATAAATAGGGGTTAATGATAGAAGGGTGAAAATTTTGGATTGTATGTATTTTTGTCTAAAAAATAAAAAAAAAATGTAGGGGTGGACTACCCCTAACATTTAGGGCGATGCAAAATAGATGTTGGCCGATTCTCAGACCTACTCAATACGCTCACAAAATTTCATGAGAATCGGTCAAGCCGTTTCGGAGAAGTATGGGAACGAAAACTGTGACACGAGAATTTTATATATAAGATATATAAAACAATCATATTCATTAATACAAATGTCTGTACCGTGCAATGAATCGAACCAACGACCATCGGTAGCAAGACGGTGTGCTGAACCACTAGACCATGGTACGCGAACCTTTATGCATCAACGTGCCATTTTTTCCAAAAAATGTTTAATGGGGTCATTGACGTGCCATCAAATAATTTTGACTTTCTGATTATTTGGAAAATAATTATAATAATTACTATCAAAACTCTCTATGACATAAAGTAAACAAAAGACGTACATTTTGGATTGTTTTCATTACACGCATAAATTAAATTACTGTAAAATTCGTGTGACTTCTGTTGCTGCAGGTTAGATGACAAATAATTTATGTCAGGCTTGTACGATGTTACTTTTAGCAAAATGCATGCTGACCTGGATTCATCTGTCAAACGGTTTCTAACTGAGTTTTTAATGTTATTCATCTCTGAAAATAATGACTCAGGCATAGGTATGTGAAAATATTGTTAAAATAGCATGAGCCAGCTTCTTCAAACAGTTTTATTACCAACGACGTGCCCAAAATATTATGTGGCGTGCCGTCAATGGCACGCGTGCCATTGTATCGCCTACCCTGCAACTAGACCATCAAATTCAAGAACATTTTCTTATTCTATTGAGTATTTAATAATGTAGTTTGGAATGCATATTTAAATAAGTAGATGTTTATTCAGGATTTTGAAAATGTAGTTTAAAATATATAAATTACAGTATTAAAAGGCTTCTTTTATAAAATTTTAAATATAGATGCATATTCAAGTTTCAAATAGGTAGTAATAAATAATATCTAAATATATATAACTCAAAGGTGACTGACATACTGATCTATCAACGCACAGCCCAAACCACTGGACGGATCTGGCTGAAATTTGGCATGCAGATAGATGTTATGACGTAGGCATCCGCTAAGAAAGGATTTTGATAATTCTACCCCCAAGGGGATAAAATAGGGGATGAAAGTTTGTATGAAACTTTGTCAATTTTAAACCGATCGGACTGAGACTTTGCATGTATAAAGCTACTATGACGTAAGCATCCCCTAAGAAAGGATTTTGATAAATTCCACCCCTAAGGGGATAAAATATCCCGAGCGAAGCCGCGGGCAAAAGCTAGTTAAAAAATATAAATCAAACTCCATAGTTGAATAATAACTAATTCTCTATTACTATTTTAACAAATGCATATTAGTTTGCATTGTAGATATATATTATGCCTAGTAGGTCTCTGTCGAGTATTTAAAAGTGTAGTTTATAATAAGTGCATATTCAAGTATGCAATAGTATGTAATATTTTGTTATCTGTGGCAATAGTAAATACTTGAGAATTTTGTGATGTCCTTTTCATAACTCGAGAATGTCATAATGTAAGTGTTGTGGTGGGGTTCTTTTGTGTTGAGATGGTATGTGAGATGATGTGATGATGTTAAATAATAAATAATATGTACGTTTAGAGCAGAAGAATTGTATTAGCTTTTCTATAATATTTTTTACAATAATGTCAATCTATATTTGACAACTAAACTATTACTCGTAATAAAACTTAATCGATGAGGAGTTCGTATATACACCTAACAGTACCCCCCTCCGATCGATCCCCCGTCCAATTCAAACGGGGATCGAAATTACGACGGCCTAAGCCGAGGTTCGAACCCCTAGTGGTGCCCTCAGACTAAAGTCGTATCCGTCAGGCAGTTGGCCTTCAGCTGCTCCATAAGTCCTTCCGCGGGTTTGGAGTGCCATCTGCACTCGCCCCCTAACGTCCGGTGCAGCTGTAAAGGCCAGCTGCGGCCAACAGCATTAGAGTAGACCGAAAATAAAAACTGGGGGCATAAAAAGAACATCACATCAATGTATGAACAATCCATTCAAATACATTGTACTTTATGTAGATATATATATTATACTGAAGCTGTTGGGTTTTTTTTAAGGATGATAATGGAATGGTGCACCCGCCTGCGCTAACGGTTTACACTAGCAGGGCACCAGTGGAAGATGATAAGATAGCATGAGGTCAAATCAGTTAGCCCAACCTGACAAATTTACAGGGAATTTATCACGATGGTTTCCAGGGGACCGCGTGGAGGTCCACATTACTTACAATCTACTTCCCCCGAAGCTGTTGTTAGGTTACAACAATTTTTTTTTTAATTATTGTATAACAAACATCTTCTCGTTTCTTGTCATTAAATTGTCTTCAATCCTTAAACCTAGCTAATATTATAAATGCAAAAATAAATTTATTTATATAATATTTATGTATTAGTTCGCACACAAAATTGTATACATGGCAGATTTAATGCCTGATGGCATTCTTTACCAGTTAACCGTCGCGGTAGATGAAGATGATAATCACGTAAAAGATGTCAATGACTTAATGCCTGATGGCATTCTCTACCAGTCAACTATCTCCTTACACAGACATGATAATGACGTAAAAGATGCCAAAGGTAGAAAAGATAAAATACAAAAATAAAATGTCATCGACAGAAAGATGATTGAATCATCAACTTGATAGTATCAGCAGAGAGGCAATTAACTCAAGGCGATCGCAGTGCATCAGTCCTAAAGGTTATAAACCTACAGATGCACATTTCAAGGCCCATCCGATAATTCATTTCTAAGTAAAATGATAAGGACAAAGTTTGTAGTCTACGAAATTACAGGAAAATCACTCTGATTAGTGAATTTACAGTAAAATCTTTTTTGTCTGCTAGCGAATTGTCTTCATTTCGTGTAAATCTTCCTTTCCTCTTTTGGTATACTCGCAATATTTGTAGTGTTATAGGAATATCAGAGATTTTTGATGGATATGGAATAGTGCACTCAACTGCGCTAAAATTCATTTCAAAGTAAAATGATAAGAACAAACTTTGTGGTTCAAGAAATTACAGGAAAATCACACTAATTGGTGAATTTATAGTAAAATCTTTTATGTCTAGTAGGGAGAGCTATCTTCAATTCGTGTAAGGCTTTCTTTCCTCAGAGATATAGAGAGATTTTTAATTGATACACAATGGTGCACTCAACTGCGCTAAAGGAGTTATTCTGAATGCAGACTCATCACAAATGAGCATGAAACTTGCATGCATAATACTTTAATTAAATTATTTCAACGGTAACAGTCCAAAATACAGCCTACAGAGTAAGCTGCTAGCTGTAGAAATGGGTGAGTCAAAGAAATAGAAATAATATTTATTCAAATAAACTTAAAATAAGCACTTTTGAATAGTCATATTTTTTATTCTACCACTCGTTCAGAACGCAGACTCATCACGAGAAGAATGAGCAAAAAACTCGTGTGTTGCTCTTTTAAATAAACTATAATAACAAACTCTTCTGAAGACTTTGTACAAAGTGGTTTACACACAGTACACTTTGTCGTAAAATAAGCTACTATAGATATGATGATAGTAGAAGCATTCCTGTAAATAGTGATAACCTCGTATTTACATAACGTTCGTTATCTTTTACCGCAATCCAGTGGTTATAATTCGTATTTTTGACTCGTCGATTCTAGTATTGGTTTCTGCACACAAACATTCCTGAAGGGAGTCATTGTCATATTTTTATACAGTTCTAACTTTTATCCGCGGCTTCGCTCGCTTTGAATCAAAAATATTTATATTTTTTTAATAAAAAGTATCCTATGTTCATTCTAATGCCTCCAAGAACATGTGTACAAAATTTCATGATGATCGGTTTCTGTAGTTTTTGCGTGAAAGCGTAACAAACATCCCAAATTTCACATTTATAATAATACTAGCTACCCACCCCGGCTTCACACGGGTGTACATGTATTATACATATAAACCTTCCTCTTGAATCACTCTATCTATTAAAATAAACCGCTTCAAAATCCGTTGCGTAGTTTTAAACATTTAACCATACATAGGGACGGACAGAAATCGACAGCGACATTGTTTTATACTATGTAATAATGATTAAGGATTAAGGATTTGTACTTACTAGTGGTCGCCCAATTGTCGAAATTTGACCTTAACTAATTTCAATGTATTAACATTATAAGGATTCTATTATCAAAAACCATACTTCTATGCGTGTGTGTCGAATACATGGGAGTTTTTAATGGTTTTTATTGATTTAATGTGTTTTATGCATATTAAAAAAAATGGATTCTGCTTATAGAAGATAACAGAGAAGAGTTTCTCTATTATCTTTTAACTTCGTCTCTATATAAACTGTATGTGCGGAATTACATACACCTCACCTCACCACGCTAATTACTGATAAGCTGTATTCATGTAAAGTTTCATCAAAATCCGTTGAGTAGTTTTTGCGTGAAAGAGTAACAAACATCCATCCATCCATACTCACAAACTTCCGCGTTTAAATATTAGTAAGATGCATGAACTTAATATTAGAAACGACTTGAACTGCTATTTCATATATGTGTACATAAAATTATTTAAATACATAACATGAGAACTTTTTTATTTATACGTATACGTACCATGTTTTATTTTTATTGAGTTCCCGATATTTCGACAGTGTTTCAACCGCCATGATCACGGGTGAACTATCATCATTTTGTCTAAGTCTAGTATGTAACTCCACATAGCGCTGTTATGATCTAGTAAGGTATATATTTTTGTACCTTATAATTCATGTCAGTTTTTATTTTTATTGTCTTCCCGATATTTCGATAGTGTTTCAACCGCATTTACCCGTGATCATATCAGTTGAAACGCTTTCGAAATATCGGGAACTCAATAAAAATAAAACGTGCTAAGATCCCGTGATTTTTGCTAACTATACGTATAATATGACTAATTAACTAATGTTTTAACACTTACATTATGTTAGTGATATTGGAATTAGTAAAACCGGTACAATACTGATTTTTGTGTAAACAATGAGACCACAATCGAGTACATCCTGCAGTGGCAGGGGTCAAATGAGCGCGATAAGCCACTGACAGTCGGGTACAAAAGTGTATAATAGAATAGAATAGAACAAATATTTATTGTTAACTGAGTGGGTACAATAATTTGTAGGTAGTAGAATAGAATAGAATAGAAAATAATTTATACAAATAAACTTAATTTAAGCACTTTTGAATAGTCATAACTTTTTTTTTAATCTACCGCTCATTCGGAAACTGTCTCATCACAAGAAGAAGGAGCAAAAACTTGTGTGTTGCTCTTTTAAATAATCCTTGTAAGTTCACATTTTACAAGTCGAAACGTGTGAATACAAACTACCAACCAGCAATATATTGTATATATAAATATATGTATTACTGTTCTTGTATAAAATAACTAGCTGTCCCGGCAAACGTTGTTTTGCCTTAAAATAAAAATAAAAAATTAGGGGTGGACTACCCCTAACATTTAGGGGGATGAAAATTATATGTTGGCCGATTCTCAGACCTACTCAATACGCTCACAAAATTCCATGAGGATCGGTCAAGCCGTTTCGGAGGAGTGTGGGAAAACTCTGACAAGATAATTTTATATATAAGATATAGTGTCAGAGACCCAAATCCCCACCAACATGCTGTCCACCATCATGAAGGTGGACTACTGGTCGAAGACGGTGGTGTATCGGCGCTACTGTAGCATTGCCGTCGTCAGTGCCGTAACCATAGAGTAAATTTATTTACATTTTATTATTATTTCTTATGTAACATACATAAGTCTATAAGGTATTTATAATATGTGCTATGTAGCCTGTATTAAATAAATAAATTGAGTTGTAACCTATCCTATCTTTCAAGTTAGATCAAATTGCACACAATGTGCGAATCAAATTTGCAATCGGTTCAGTAGTTTACGAGTCTATCCAGGACAAACAACGTGACACGTTATTTTTATATATAAGTATTTGTATCAACAGTTATACCCAATCGGGCATGTATAATAATTTTATAATTTTATATAAAGTATTATATATAGTTACACTAGCCTACCCACGCAACTTCGTCTGCATCACACTTACTTGACATTTATCATTATTTCGCCCAATTTACATTATATTTTTCTAAATTATAGCCTACTAGTACTAACTGTGCCCGCAACTTGGTCCGCCTAGAATAGTAATCCTGGATACCATTTCTAATTATTTTTATTTAGCCTTATTATAAAAAACCAAAGAAAAAAAAAACATTGTTAATTTAAAAATTACAAATTTTCATACAAACTTTCCCTTAAGGGTAAAATGGTTACAAACTTTGAATGTCATGTTTATTTATATATAATTAAATATAAACCTCAAAAATAAGTTTCATAAATTGAAAAATATTTTACTCGAATTGATTTCGCAAATTTTTATTTATGTGTTATTTCAATGTTTTATGACGAAAATCTGATAAGGAGAAAAAATGTGTTATTTCAATATATTACGACAAAAATTTGATTCATTCATTCATAATTAAAGAGCTGTGTTCGTCGTGTGTCGGTGGAGCTCCCGCCACCTTTCACGATCTTCAATCTTTTTAAAATTTGATACCGAGAAAAAAATCTATAATTAAAAATCTCACTTCTTGACGTTGGTTCAATAGTTTAGTAGATGTACTAAGCGTATTTTAAGTACAAGAGCAATACCGGGGAATTTAGATGTAAATTGTAGAATAGGGAGGCAATGAACACTGACAAATGAATGTTCGTGGGAAGGAATGGCGCGAAATAGGATGTTTCTTACCACGCATACCCGAATAATGAGCTGAGATGAAGGTCACCATGTTAATGTTTCTAAATAATATGTAGAAGAAACGTTACATTTTGATTATAAAGCATAAACTTAAAAAATACCGATCAGAATAAGAGGCATTTTACCTACATATAGTCTGCCATTTTAATTATATACAAAAAAAACTCAATTCCAATTTTAAACATTATTCCACTCATAAACAGGTATATGATCCGCAAGAAACAGGGGTTATAGGTTATTTTTTAAATATATATAGGGTACACTAGCTGTTCCTGCAACTTCGTCCGCGTGGAATTTAACTTTATTTTTCTAAAATAAAAGTAGCCTAAGTTACTCCTTATTGCATCAGCTACCTGCCAGAAAAAAGTCCCGTCAACATCGGTCCAGCTATTTCAGAGATTAGCCGGAACAGACAGACAGACAGGTAAAAATTATAAAAAATGTTATTTTGGTGTATTTATTTATATTCGTATGCATGTAGTAATAAACGGTTATTTCAATATTACAATCTAATAATCTCCAATTTTAATTATATGTGTAGATTTATTTATAGTAATGTGTACTAATAACCCCATTGCTAGCAATATACCACGTCAGGTTCATCTCCACACCGTTCTCCCTGGAAACCATCGTACTAAATTTCCAAGATGAGCTAATTAACCTAAGTTCATGCTCGTTTTATCATCCTCCACATAGGTCTCACGTAAACCATCAGCGCAGGCGGAAGCAGCATTCCATTATCATCCATAAAAAATACATAAAACTAACAAATATTCTCGTATATATTTACTAGTTGACCCGGCAAATGTTGTTTTGTCTTATAATATAAATCAGTATCAGTATTGGTGATAGAAGAATGAAAGTTTAGGGTTGTATGTATTTTTCAATACTAAATCATAACAAAAAAAAATAAAAAATAATGTTTTGGGGTGAGCCTCCCTTAAAACTTAGGGGTATTAAGGGTTATAAACCTATTCTCAGAAATTTCATCAAAATCGGTCAAGCCGTTTCGGAGGAGTATAAACACGAAACCTGTGAGACGAGATTTATATACATATATTAGAAGATATAACCCAATAATTTTCTTTCTGCCTGTACATTACATAAATATATAACACCATTTGGTAGCGTCCACGCCGGGGCTTGTGTATTATCAATTGGAACCCAATACGGTGCGCGTGCGCAAGTGCAAAATGTGGAAGGATCTCTGTTTACTGGTCGCGCTACTGGCTTCGGCCAATTGTGAATATAAATACGTTACAAAATGGTTCAAAGTCCCGCTGGATCACTTCGGTTACCAGAGAAACGAGACCTTCCAGATCAAGTATTTGGAGAATGAAGACTTTTGGGACAGAGGGAACGGTCCCATATTCTTCTACACGGGAAATGAGGTAAAAATACTAATTATTTGAACTAGTAGTCGCTCACTGGTCGAAACGCGACCGTAATTAATGTAATATTAGTACAGTAAATAAGAACAATAGAAAGCCTATAGACAAATAATATTAAAGACAAACAATATTAATCTATTCTCAATTTGACCACAGACTAACAATAAACAAAAGAGAGCGTGTGCCAAATATAGTAATGAGTGTATAGTCTTTGTTACTGAATTTGGGATATTTTTTATGATTTATTTAAAAAAAAATAGCTTTCTGCACTCCTCTATATCTATACTTCTGTACTTACTTATATTATAAAGCTGAAGAGTTTGTTTGTTTGAACGCGGTAATCTCAGGAATTAGTGGTTCGAATTGAAAAATTCTTTTTGTGTTGGATAGTCCATTTATCGAGGATGGATTTAAGCTCTATAACATTACGCTATGACCAATAGGAGCGGAGCTGCAATGAAAAATATTGCAAAAGGGGAAATGAAACGCAGATGAATTTATGCGGATCAATTAGTAAACTATAAGTTTGTGAAATCTCAGATTCCTTCGTCCGCTCAATTTTCGTAAAAAGAGGTATAAAGTAATTGCTTCACGTATTAATATACATATACATAGATCATGAACGTTTATCAACCAACTTACAAAACGAGTAGGTTTTGCAACTAGCTGTGTAAACTGTGTTTTCTGTTGACTTGTAATAATAAAAATATTTGAATACATTTTTTTATTTTCTAAACGAAAAATTCAGGATTTTGTTTATAATCTTTTCAGGCCGTCCACGGACTCTACAAAAACTAGGACATGTTGGCAATTCTAAACATATAAATCTCTAATGTTTAAATTAAAACATTAAAAACTGATAATCGTTTTTACCATAATCGAATAGTTTCTCACAGTCCTATTTTTTTAACCCTTTGGATATGCTGTTCTTGTTTCTTTTAGGCTACTTGGATTCAAAAAAATAGTCTGAGAAAAAAAATATTTTAGTAGAAAACTGTCCGGCTATCTTCTATCAAGAAGTTAAAACATAATTTCTACATATATTTATGGAGTCTGACTTCCAATAATAGCGTTGCTCCGTACATCTGTTTCTATTTAAAGTTACAATTAGTATCATTAGCCGTAGCTACGTAACAACATTATCACTATACAAAGCAAACAATACAATAAACTGTTTTATAAATACCTTACTAACTCGGTTAGTTGTCAAAATGCATCTAACAAGCAGACGGACTGACAGACAAAATTTCGCATTCATAATATTTCTGCTGGCGACCGTTCATCGCCGTCGGCAGCGAATTCTTAATATATTTAAATTTATAATTTTTAAATGTCTGCTTTTTTTTAAATATAAATAATTAATTTACCATGATTTGCAGCTGCACATATATAATATACAATAAAAAAAATATTATTTCAGTCAACTTAATAATATACACACAACGCCATCTAGCATCTCTATCTCTAACATCATCTATATACACACCCAGACCACAGATAACATAATATTACCCAGACCAATACAACCAATTATACTCATGAATATTTGTACCGTGCAAGGAATCGAACGCGCAGCTATTGGAAGTAAAGCGGTGTGCTAAACCGCTAGACCAACGAAGCCGTTATTTATTTAATTTTTTTGTATTACTTTACTTATTTGAACGAGAACTTTACACTTTATTATTAGTATAGATAATGATATCTAAATTTTGCCTAAGTAGGTACCCAGCAGTGCCTGTGACAGGAAAACAGACGAGAGCAATAAGCAAGCACCCACAATCAGTTAAAGATAATGATTGGTGACTGTTTCCAGGGTCAGATCGAGGTGTTCGCTCAACACACTGGATTCATGTGGGATATTGCGCAGGAGTTCGGGGCCAAATTGGTATTCGCTGAGCATAGGTTGGTACTTTATATTTTCTTTTATTTAATTCTATGCTTTATACCTGTAGCACTGCGACCTAAAAAGATCTATTACGCTCGCCTATTTTTAAAGTTTTCGCTACCTAGGTCCGTCGGGGACAAGAATTGAAGGATATTCTCACAAGCAATGGATTTTATCTCCTCAGGATTGAATCTTTACTTTCCAAAGGAGATATTTCGATTATGCATGAGTGGACTACATCTACATAGGATGATGTAGTCTCCTCTTCATTTTGGCAAATATAAATTGTTATTATTTGCACTCTTTATTTTTTGATAACCCGCTGTTTGTATATAATGAATTATATGTTAATTTGAAAGTCCATTTCATTATCTAATGGATTTATAATATTTTGTTTAATTCCGTTACCATTAGTATGTGTGCGACGACAAACGGCCGCAGCTGGCCGTTACTACTTCACCAATTGAAAGGGCACGAGTGTAAATGGCTCTCCAAACCCACGGAAGGACCTTTATAGCAGCTGAGGGCTAACTCCTGCCCGATGGATACGACTTTAGTTTGGGGGCACAGGGCAAGGGGTTCGAACGTAGGCTTAGATCGTCATAATCCCCGTCAGGATCCCCGTTTGAATTGGACAGTGGGTCGATTAGCTACGCTTATATATATAAGGCTATAAAGATGAGTTTGCATAAAGTCTACTTCGTGCCTTTACAGATATTACGGTGCTTCAATGCCATTCGGAAACAAATCGCTGGATAACGAGCACATCGGCTACTTGACATCTTCCCAAGCACTCGCTGATTACGCTGACCTCGTCAATTATTTGCAAGACAACTCGCTGAAGCCATCACACCCAGTTATTGCTTTTGGAGGTGAGACCCTTTTTTTAAGTTCGTAGATAGATCTTATAGGGTTTTGAGACGAAGTTTAGTTAGCATTTCAAGGATTCAACGTACGGGCAGAGAGAGAAACTCCTAGAAGTTCCTGGGACTTGTGACCCGGGTGTACCAGCGACTCTTGCCGACGTACCAGCCAATTCTGCTTGGAGCCTGCTAGTACTGCTTTACATACACGTTCTAGTATAGAATTTACAGCAGCTCTAGACAGGTCAAGATTTTAGAAGATTGTAAGAACATTTCATTGGTATATAAGGAGAGCGAGCCACATACTCATCTTCCTTTAATTCGTTTGTTTTTATTGCCCGGTCTTTAGATATATTTTTTTCACAGTGGCCTCTAGGAATACACGTTTAGCTTTTTTTGGAATATATATAGTCTGGAAGATGAAATACCTAAATCTTCTGGGATGTTATAATTTTTATAATACTTTTCACACGTGTTCATTAAAATAGTCCGGTGAGGTACAATAACAACAAGCCCTTCCCAATCCTAAGTAACATTGAGGGGCTTGTTTTGCATGTCTGCATGCTACTGAAACTATGTATATTATGTATGTACTATATGTATTAAAAAAAACGTATCTATGTGTTAGATATATCAACTCTATGTACTAGTAAAAGTATGTATTATAATAAAATAACAACTATATAACATTAATTTAACTATGTCTCTAACACAATTCACTTTAGCAATTAAAATACAACCAGCACATCCTGTGCTCAAAGACCGGATGCCGCGGCCTACAAAAACCTTCCCTTTTATACAGAGAAGATATGAGTGGGGGTTATATGCAACTAGTTTAACGATACCGAGTAATAATGAAACTACCTTCTTTTAATATAAAATATCAGATTTTTCGACAATATCGATGTGAACCCTAACATATGTAATTATCAGTTGTCTAGTCTCCATATCACAAGCTCCACTTAGCTTGGGACTAGATGGCGCTGTAAATTGTCTTGGATTATTATTATTGTTATTATTTTGTCTACTTCAGGCTCATACGGTGGTATGCTGGCAGCGTACTTCCGCATCAAGTACCCTCACCTAGTCACCGGGGCTATCGCGGCATCAGCTCCAATACACCAGTTCACAGGAATGGTCCCCTGCGAGGTTTACAATAGGATCGTCACCTCCAGCTTTAAGATAGCTAGTGCCACGTGTGCCAACAATATTAGAGAATCTTGGGCTGTTTTGAGGTTTGTTCTCTATGATTATGATTTTTACAATAAACTAGCCACTCACCTCGATTCGCCTAGATTTTTTTCTAAAACAAATGTAGCCTAAGTTACTCCTTATTACATCTGCTGCCAATAAAAGTCCGGTCAAAATTGGTCCAGTCATTTCAGAGAATAGCCGGAACAAACAGTCAGACAGACAGACAAAAATTGTAAAAAATATTATTTTGGTATATATACCCTATTTATATTCATATGCATGTAGTAAAAAACGGTTATTTCAATATTACAAACAGACACTCCAATTTTATTTATATGTATAGATTTCAATAACATGTCAAACAACATATTGAAACAAACAATCGAATCATACAGAGACACATATAATCAATTAAAATTCCAATAAAATTATCATATTATATATTTGACACAATCAAGAAATGGTCATCTGTTAAGAACTCCGCAATAGAGTAATAACATTTTTTTATTAAAATTTAATTCTTAAAAAACCCCATATAGTAGTTTCTTTATGTTGTAGGAACTTCACAAAATCCACAAACAATACAGCTTGGCTACAGAAGACTTGGAACCTGTGCGACCCGCTGAACAACACCAATGATGTGCAAAGTCTCGTTGACTTCCTCCAGGATATGTACAGCACCCTTGCGATGGTGAACTACCCGTTTGAGTCTGACTTCCTGATGCCACTCCCCGCGCAGCCAGTGAGAGTTGTCTGCCAGTACCTCAAGGATACCTTCAAAGATGAGAAAGAGCTTTTAACAGTAAGATTCTACAATTCTACGATAACTTTTATCGAGTACATACATGTGCCCGGGAAAGTGGAGCCAGCTGTGTATTCAGCGCCGTCTTTCGCCTATCAGAGGCTCTGGACGCATTAGTATAATAATAATAATATAATAATAATCTCAGGACAATTCACACAACGCCATCTAGTCCCAAGTTAAGCTAGCTAAAGCTTGTGTTATGGGTACTAGATAACTGATACATAGATAATTTTTTTTTCGTAAATACATACATATTATACAAGAGACAACACCCAGACCGATACAAACAATTATACTCATGAATACAAATGTTTGTGCCGTGCGAGGAATCGAACCCGCGACCATCGGACGTAAAGCGGTGTGCTAGACCGCTAGACCACCGAGGTCGTCATGATGATGATGTAATGTAGTAGTAGGACCCTATTAATGAAGCACTATTTTGTTGAATAGACAAAGTCATTTTTGAACATAACTCTTTAGAGATGTACATGAGGATACCCTTCCTTCAAAAGAAACCTGGCGAAAATAATTTTAAAAGGTCGTTATGTGACGCGGGGTTCTAGTTCTTGCTAGATATTTTTAAAAAAATTAACAAAAACGAACAAATTGAGTACAGTCGGTAAGCATTTATTAAAACTGTGGCTAAGGTTTTTGAATAAAATAACATTGCGACGACAAATTGAGATGTCCTATCTTTCAAGTCGGATCAAATTGCACACAATGTGCAAATTAAATTTGCAATCGATTCAGTAGTTTAGGAATCCATCGCGGATAAACAACGTGACACGTAATTTTTATATATAAATATTTGGAATAATGTAACAGTGAAAGAATTTTGTCTTAAAATCTGCAGAAAGCATCTTTATTTGTCTCAAATAATACAATTGTTGCTTATAATAAAATTACGAGGTTAATTGAGATAAAACGGTCTATAACTCAGAGGAGGCAGTTATTAGTAAATTATATTGGATTTATAATATTCTGATAATTCCGTATTATCTTATGTGAGACCACAATATCCACTGCGGAAACCTAACCACTGCTTAGAAGCGTACGACCTTCTCTATCAGTGATCAAATACTGATCGTTTCTTATTAAAAAATCACGTAATTTTTATATTATATATTGTATCTATACCTGTATTGCCATAGTACATTAATTCCTTCTATCTACAGGGTATAGGAAAAGTATTAGACATATATGCAAACTACAAGAAAACTAGTAAGTGCATTAACTACAAAAGTGAATCGTATGGTAACTTGGATGCAGCCGGTTGGGATTACCAGGTACGTAATTTAATAACAGATAGATAGATAGATAGGTAGAATATACTTTATTTGCAACGTACAGTAAAGAAGAAGCACAAACAATATAACAAAGGACACATGTATCGTAACAATAAGTCTAGGTATATTTTGTTCTTATCTATTAACTAACTTAGGCTATACACGTACGCTCTTTCAAGCGTGAATACGATTTCACGCAGAAAAGTGCATGTAAATGTAGACATAGGAATGAGAAATACAGTGTGCGCATTCCCGCGCCCTTCAATCAAGCGTCATTCAGCGCCATTTTTTATAATGAATTATAATTGCAAAATGGCGGCATCTGATTATGGAGCGAAAACATAAAGTTATTGTTGATAATAATTTATAAATCTTAAACGTGTCTCTGGGAAATAAAAAATAATATTTTAAAATAAAGTGAAACATGATTCACACGCGCAGAGACACGCGAAAGAGTGAACAAAATATTAAACGCAATTATTAAATTTTATTTATTTATTAGCATACAAAACAGATTACAATCAATACAATAATATCATTAGGAACGTGTAGTTCGGTACAAAACTGAATTGTAATCCAACACTATGTATGCCTAAAAGCTAAGGATATATAATGAAAAGTAAACAAAATAGAAAATAATATATAACTACCTGATGCAATGAATTATCATGTTAACAGAATTTTATTTATATTGAAGAAAAAAAAAATGGTACAATTGCGCACCATTCCATGATCATCCATTAAAAATCTGTTGCTTTTTATTATCACTATAGGTATGTAATATTATATTGTCTGTGCTACAGGCTTGTACGGAAATGGTGATGCCCATGTGCACAACAGGAACAGTCGACATGTTTGAGAATGTTCCATGGAACTTCACACAATTCTCTGACAGCTGCCACAAAAAGTATAATGTGTTTCCCAAAGAGGAAGCCGCGAGGATCCAATATGGCGGCAATAGGTTACAAGCAGCTTCAAACATAGTTTTGAGTAATGGACTCCTTGATCCATGGGCTGGAGGTAAATCATCAAGTATTATTTATTTATTCCTAACGATTATATATTGTATCGAAGTTACCAATAATTCACAAATTTAAACAATATCTGTATTCAAATAATGAACACAAAAGGGAAAAAAGAGGTAGATTATAGGTACTGCTTTCATAATGACTAAATTACGCGTGTAGTAACTAAATTTGAATCGAAAATTATCTAAAGAAAAAGTAATATTAAAGAATGTTTTATATACCTAGGTTGTATCTACATTTAGAATTTATAGATATAAATCAAAATATATTATATCCCAACATCTCACAACAGAGATTTCAACCTGCTTAGCGACAAAAAAGACACGTAACTGCACACACGCCTTTTTACACTATCTCAATCTATTATTTGAATGAGTGATTTATTATTGAATAAATAATAAATGATATTAAAAAAAAGTTATTTAACGATTCTATTTGCGCCATTTTAGCTAGCATTTGAATGGTATGTACCTCCATTTTCTTATATCCTATCCCTTCCATCACACAGCACATGGAAGTAAAGAAAAGGGACGGCAATATGAATACTGCATACACTGTAATATAACGACGCTCATTTTTTTATATTAAAAATTCTCATTTTCAAATGATATATAGAATTTATTTTATGTGTATCACAAATATGTGTCGTAACCACGTATAGTGCAACCTACTCGAAACGTCTAGAGAAATATTATTTACCACAAAATTGTTTATGTAAAGACCATAATTTTTTTTTTTTTTTTGCGGAAATGTAAAATAACTACTAAACATATTATCCAAGGTGGCGTTTTGAATACTGTGAGCGACACAGTCGTAGCAGTTGTGATCGTCGACGGTGCCCACCATCTTGACCTGATGCCGAAGAACCCTAGTGATCCTGGAACAGTCATCGAAGCTAGAAACATTCACAAACAGAATATACGAAAGTGGATTCAGTCCTATCGGAAATAAAAAAATTAACTATTATTTTTTCTTTTAATTTCCCCACTTTGAGTAGATTATATTATATTTCAGAACTATGTCAGTAATTTGTCCACTAGCGCTGACTTAATACTTAAATAAGATAGATGATTATTAAAAATGATATAATAAAGATTCGACTATAATCATAGAGCACTAAGTATTAGCAAATTATATTACTTAGTGTAAAAAATATATATTCCAATTAAAATGAAGAAAGATAATAATAAAGTTGTAAAAAATTACTGACGGAATATCGGATTTATCTTTACCACCACTACCATACCACTGTCTGGTCATCCGCAACCCCCCCCTAGGGAGTGTGAAGATTGGGGTCTCGGGGCGAACCCCTTAGCACCGGCATCAACTCAGGGGGCAACAACTTAACAACAACTTAACAACAACTTTTCTGGGTGACTGAGTTAAAGATTCTATGGCGAGTATGCATTATAAACATCTTAACCTAACTTGCAAAAAGTAGTGCCATACTTGGGGCAATTTCTTATTTTTTATATTAAATTTTTTTGATATAACGGTATGAACTAAATTTATATATTAAGTGGAAACATGAAAAATACAACTGACATTGACATTTTGCAATCGAAACGTCAATGTCAAATCATAAATGTGCCAAATTGTCAATGTCAAATATCATGTGTAGTCGGTTTACAATTGTTTGTTTACTTGTTAATTCTGCTCATTTGCCTTATTCTTATTAATTATAACAGTTGTTTTATTATACATCTCGTCAATAAGAGGATAAAGTATCCTAGTATGAATCCGCTGTGTAAATATTGCAAGGAACCTGAAAACAAACAAGACAAGCCCGGCCTTGTATGTAATGATAAGTCATGTTTCGTACACCTTGCTTGTTTGCGAAGACCCGGCACTCCCGGCGACTTCGAAGGTGATGTCTTCTTTGAGTTCACTTGTGAAGACTGTTCCACAGATAACAAAGAGGTGTTCTACCGCAACAAATTTCCTTGGTAAGATACTCACTAATACATGTAATTAGAATAACAATCAATGTAACATACACATTACTCCAGTGTGCAGTTATTGTTCAACTAGAAACTAGAAAAGGTCAGACTCTGGATCTGGGTTTAATTAACAATTAAATGTGCATTTCAATCTGAATATCCCTCCCTCCCTCACACTATTCAGACATTATTAAAAAATCAGGAAACTTATAAAGCAATTTATGGTGATATTATTTCTACTGTAGAAGATATCTGAAGAATGAAAAAGAAGTAACATATAAAAATGATACTGAAGACAATGGCTGTATGTGCTTAGACACTTTGCCTTTCCTATAAGGATAATAAAACAAATATAAGGATAATAAAACAAAACAACAATCATCATCTTACTTTCAATGGTCACAGGTTTGATTCCTCATACTGTACAAACATTTGTATTCATGACTATAATTGTTTGAATTGGCCTGGGTGTTTTCTATGTATATTTTTTTAATGGATGGTGTTGTGCACCCGCCTGCGCTAAAGGTTTATGCTGGCAGAGCATCAGTGGAGGATGATAGGATGTGCATGAGGTCAGGTTAGTTGGCCCATTGTTGCAAATCCATCAAGAATTTATCACTATGGTTTCCAGCCAGAACAGTAGTCTACCTGATATAGTACATTTCAAACATATATTATGCATGTAATTACAAAAGAAAACAACTCTAAATATATGTCAGTTTTCTAGTACCAATAACAAGCCTTATTAGCTTGAGACTAGATGGGGCTGCGTGAATTGTCCTGGGGTTATTATTATTTTTAGTATCTAATATCAATTTAGTGTAAATTGCCAGTCACTGTCTGCATTTCCCACTAACATTGTTTTTTATTCCAGGGTAAATGTGATCCTGTTAACAATGCACCATTTGAACAGTCACTCATATGGAATTAGCAACAATGGTTTTTTCCATTACAAAATTCACATATGCTCCTTCATTGATAGACATTGGAATCACCTTTTCGGAGCTCATACGTAAGTTTATTTTTATTATGATATTATGACGACCTCGGTGGTCCAGCGGTCTAGCACACTGCTTTACGACCTATGGTTGCGGGTTCGATTCCTCGCATGGCACAAACATTTGTATTCATGAGTATCATTGTTTGTTGGTCTGGGTGTTTTCTATATTCTAAAATCTAAATGTGTTTTAATCCATAATACATGGTTTTATTTTTATTGAGTTCCAAACTAAGTAGAACTTGTGTTATGGCTACTAGACAGCTGATATAAATACACATACAATATAGATACTTTTTTTTTAATCATGATAATTATGATTATTCATTTATAATTTGTATTCATGAGTATGATTGTTTTTATTGTTCTGGGTGTTATCCATTTAATTTGTTTGAAATAAAAAATTCATATTATATCAATTGTCTAGTATCCATAATACAAGCTCTGCTTACTGGGTCTGTGTGAATCGTCCTGAGATATTAATTGCATTTGCAATGCCTTTTTATAGTAAACAGAAGAAGAACTGGGTGGGGACCATAGCCGGTGTTCTCTCCATATATAATAACCTGATATTCCAGTCTGGATCTATGGCTCTCGGTGAGACTGGCTGGTGGAAATTACTACATAACTTCTCACCTGCTGTAGCAGCTCATATTGGTAATTTATATGTACTTTTTTATTTCATTGGAGGTTTAATTGACCTAACTGACTATGTCTGCTATATTAAGGACATTGTCAACTACATATGGACCAGGAGTAACCTGACATTGAGGGTGACGCAGCTGGAATCGAGTCATAACGCGAATTTCAAGGCGTTTGTAACGCGAGTTTCCACCAACATGCTAACCACCTACATGATGGAGAACTACTGGCTGAAGGGTGTGGTGTATCGGCGCTACCGTGGCAGATTACCATCATCAGTGCCGTGATCACATAAAAAATTTATATTTCCTTTCTTATAATTATATTATTCACATGTATGTTAGTCTGTAAGGTATTTATAATATGGGCCATTAGCTGCCTGATTTAAATAAATAAATAAAATAAAATATTAAGAAGACATATATATTTACATATAGACATAATTTATATATCTATATAATATATAATATTGGTAGCCTAAATTATTTAAAAGAGCAACACACAAGTTTCTTGCTTGTTCTTCTTGTGATGAGACAGCATTCCGAATGAGCGGTAGATTAAAAAAAAAAAATGTTTTGACTATTCAAAAGTGCTTCAATGTAAGTTTATTTGAATAAATGATTTTCTATTCTATTCTATTCTAATGGTCTAGCGGTATAGCAGACCGCTTTAATTCCGATGATCGTGGGTTCAAATCCTCGCACGATGTGAGCACTCTGTTTTCAATATATTTTATGTCCTAGTTGTCTAGTACCGCTGCTGTTTATCTTGAGACTAGAAGGCGCTGTGTGAGTTGTGTTTTTATCATTGATGTTATGGATATGAAATTTCGGATACGGATAGGTTTCGGATATAGGAATGATTATTATATCGGATAGGGATGCGGATTTGTATTTTACTTTTGAAATTCCTTAAAAAAATAATATCCGTAACCGAAATTATCCGAAACTTTTATTTTGGATTCGGTTACGGTTACGAATCTTTTTTTATATCGGATATCCGATAGTTTCGGTTACGGTTACGGAGCACCCTGACATCCCTGGTTAATAATAATCTAGGTTATTACTATTAATATAAAAATTGATAAGATAAAACATGATGCAAAAAAACTCATCTAAATATATATAAGTCAAATGTGACTGACGTAGTGATCTATCAACGCACAGCCCAAACCACTCGACGGATCGGGTTGAAATTTGGCATGCAGGTAGATGTTATGACATAGGCACCCGCTAAGTAAGGATTTTGATTAATTCTACCCCCAAAGGGATAAAATAGGGGATGAAACTTTGTCCATTTTAAACCGATCGGGCTGAGACTGCATGCATAAAGCTACTATGACGTAGGCATCCGCTAAGAAAGGATTTTGATAAATTCCACCCCTAAGGCGATAAACGGGAGCGAAGCCGCGGGCAAAAGCTAATTACATTATATGAGTGACATTCACATCACATGACAAAATTTGTAGCATATACCCTTATAGTGTTCAACTGATTACAAAAAAAAACTAACAAATAAAAAAAATATTAAAACAAATAACATCTTCCGTTTATATCTATACAGTACAAGCACTAGCCAAAGACAAACCGAAAGGGCGGCCAAAGAACCAGATGTCTCTAAACAAAACCTTGTTCTTGGAGAAAGTTACCAGTATGGGTAAGTACGTAATATCTTGATCATTTGAGCTGTATTTATGATCTATCCTAATACTAATATTACCGAATTAGAAAGTAATCTGTGTGGATCCTAAATCTCACCTATTACAGCTGCCAAGCAGCTTGCATTTTATTAGATATACGGTATACATAAAAAATATTAATATAAAAAACCGTTTTACGTACATAAGAATATAAATACGCACCAAAATGTTTTTTACTATATGAATAAATGATTTTTGTTTCGATTTGATTTTATTTGTATATATAAAAATACAAATAAAAAATAATATAATATAAATTTAAAAAAAAAAATGAGTCTACTTTTAATTGGTCAATAAAGGATTTATGTATCTTATTTTTACTTTTAATTTTAGGGTACAACCATTTGATAAACGAAGAAGAGCAATCCCCCACAGCAGTCAAACCAGTACCATGTAAGAAGCGTCGCAATTCGACACGGACGATATTAACATACATTCTCTTACGATCAAGAAGCAATTGACTCTGACAATGGACAGTAGGTAAAAAATATTAATATAAAAAATTCGACGTACATAAGCGGCTAAAATGTCCTATATGAATAAATGATTTTTGTTCCCGACGACCCCATAACGGTATATATAAAAATACAAATAAAAAATAATATAATATAAATTTAAAAAAAAAAATGATCACACTTTTACAATACACACACGACATTTTCCTTTTAATTTTACCGTCCAACCATTTGATAAACCCGACGACCCCATAAATATAAATTAACCGCTCTAAATGAGTCCACCTTTAATTGTCCCGATCACACTTTTACACATACACACACGACACCGTCCATAAACGAAGACCTCGAGTGATCCCGACGACCCCATAACGGTAGTTAACCGCTCTACGGGTCCACCTGTACCGTCCACGATCACACTTTTACACATACACACACGACACCGTCCATACCGTCCGACAACGTCGAGTGATCCCGACGACCCCATAACGGTAGTTAACCGCTCTACGGGTCCTCCTGTTCCGTCCCGATCACACTTTTACACATACACACACGACACCGTCCTCGCCGGCGAAGACGACGACCTCGACCATACCGCGCAATCAACCGGGCGCAGAGTAGAGTAGCCCGAAAAAAAAGTAGGTACATTTTTTTATAACTCCACTAGTCGTTCCCGCGACTTCGTTCGCGCAGCGCACGTAACGGAAGCCCTCACATACGAATAAATTTTCCCTGTTTTTGAAACATTTTTTTTTATATTTATAATTGCACATGTACAATAAATTTATATATAATAGATTAATAATACACACATGGACTCTGTTTAAAGAATGTTGCAATTTCGTAGATGACACTTTTCATATTTTTGCCTATCAGTTTGTTAGGATACTGAAATCTGCTTAGCTCCTACAGTACGTCTGCCAGAAATTCTATTATAGTGTAATAAGCTATATTTATAATTTTTCACGGATGCTTCGCTTCTATTGGTCGTAGCTTAGAGCCTAAAGTTAAGTAAGCTTAAAGCCTTTCTTGACAAATGGACTATCCAGCACAAAATTAATTTTTCAATTCGATTAGCGCGTTCAAACAAACAAACTCTTCAGCTTTATAATATGAGTAGAGATTAACTTCAGGATTACATTGACCTGCAAGCGTATTATGAACTTTTTAAAATCCAGGCTAGAATAAAAGTTCATTCTGTTCTATTATTTATTTTCTAGTTCTATTTATTATTTCATTAAACATAATTATTTACCAAATTTATGTTCTATTATTAACAAATTATTTCCAAAAAAACAGCAATATTCATAATATTAATACTAGATTTAAAGACAAACTTGCTGTCCCCAAGTATCGTTTAGAAAAAGTTAATAGGTATTTTATGGGAATAGGTATAAAAATTTACAATAAGATACCAAAGGATATGTTGGAATTACCCTTAAATAAATTCAAAACATCTGTTAAATCATATTTACTGAGCAAAACCTATTACTCACTAAATGATTACTTGAATGACGAGTGTGCATGGCAATAGTTGTTCATGCATTGATTTTTCGTTTAATGTTAGACCTACATAAGTACACAATATATAAAAAAAGGATATTCAATTGAGTTTCTTGCCAGTTCTTCTCAATTGTTATACCGAACCGGACGGTAGGGAAAAAATAAAATTATAATGTAAAAATTTGACGTTCATAAGCGGCTAAAATGTCCTACATGAATAAAAGATTTTTGAATTTGAATTGAATTTGAATAACGGCCTCGGTGGTTTAGCGGTTTAGCTTCTTACATCTGATGGTCGCGGGTTCTATTCCTTGTTTTTATCTACTCTAATGCTGTTGGCCGCAGCTGACCACAGCTTCACCGGACGACAGGAGGCGAGTGCAGATGGTACGCCAAACCCGCGGAAGGACTTATGGAGCGGCTGAAGGCCAACTCCCGCCTGACGGATATGACTTCAGTCTGATGGCACCGCTAGGGGTTTCTAATCCTTGTCCGGTCAAACGTTTGAATTCATGAGTAAAATTGTTTTTATTGATCTGGGTGTTTTCTACGTATATTATTTACGATAATAAATTTAATGTATTTATATCAGTATCTAATACCCGTAACACAAGCTCCACTTAGCCTGGGACTAAATGGCGCTGTGTGAATTGTGCTGATATATTTTTATTAATGCTATATTTATTAATAGGATCGACGAGTACATCGAAGATATGGGATTCGTTTCCAAAGATGGCTCGCAGTCGGACGTGGAGAACAGCTTCCGAGGGTTCGACTTCACTCCAGTCAGTCATACTGCGCCTCTTCAGGTAGGTGAAGTTGATATTTGGATGACGGGATCTACATAACACTAGAATGTATTCAGAACAAAATTTTAGAAATTCTAATAGAGAATTATTGATTATTCATCTATGAATATCTAATTATATACTTTTTTTATAATAGAATCTTATTTGAAACTTGAATATGAATTTTTATAAGAGAAGCATTCTATTTTAGCATACTCGAATATATATTTTAAACTACATTTTTAAATTATTAATTTAATATGCATTACATAAAAAATAGAATAAAAATACATAATAGAATAAGAAAAAATACTAGAATTTGATGGCCTCGGTGATCTAGTGGTGTAACATACCGCTTTACTATCCGATGGCTGCAGGTTCGATTCCTAGCACAAACATTTGTATTCATGAGTATGATCGTTTGTATAGGTCTGGGTGTTCTTTCTGTATAATATGAATTTATTTACAAAAAAAAAGATATTCAGTAGATCTAAGAATCGGTTACTATCTATTTTTCATACCCCTAAGTGATAAGGGTTGTCCACACCTAATAATTATTTTTTATATTTTGTCAACACTTTTATTTCATATTTTTTTATAATGTGGCATTAAAAAATACATACAACCCTAAATGTTCAGCTTTCTATCACCAACCCCTTATTTTTAATAGCGATTTTAATTTATATGGCAAAACAACGTTTGCGGGATCAGCTAGCAAAAAATATAAAATCTCGTGTCGCGATGTTTGTTACCAAACTCCTCCGAAACGGTTTTACCGTTTTTTATGAAATATTGTGTGCATATTGGGTAGGTTTGAGAATCGGCCAACATGATGATATTATATTTGTCATATTTTTTTATAATGAAAAAATTTGTTCAATGTTTTAATTTATATGGCAAAACAATGTTTGCGGAGTCAGCTAGTACCTACATATCTATATTTTTCAGAGTGACTCATCCAGCATCCACTCATATCAGCAGATACTCTACTACGACTCAGATTCACACAGCCGCTCGCCCAACTGCCAACCCGATACCCAATCTGACTGCGATACCAAAAAACCAGAACCAAAACCCAAGAAAAACGCACCAGAAGAGAAACCATATGACAAAAGAGAGTCTTTATTCTCAACTGAGCTGAACTCTATAGATATGCCTTGGATGGGGGAAGTGTCGGAGCCGAAGAATGATCTAGTGGAGATGACGCAGTATGAAGAGTTGCAGCTGCTTAAGCAAGTTGAAGGTCTGATACCTAAAGTTAAGGATATTAATAAGAAAGCAGAGCTGCATAGATTGAAGGCCAAACTTGCGTTAAGAAGACTCAAGAGGCATAAACATTTGCCGCTTTTTGATTTAGATAAGTAAGTTTTAAAAATGTTTTTCTAATCAGTATTAATTGAGCGGACCGATTTAGATATCAAATTTGCACTGTTTGTAACACACACTCCTCCGAAACGGCTTGACCGAGACCAAAATTTCATCGAAAATCGATCGCAGGGCCTCCATCATTTACCACTCAAAAAATTCCTTCGATCGCAGGGCCTCCATCATTTACCACTCAAAAAATTCCTTCGATCGCAGGGCCTCCATCATTTACCACTCAAAAAATTCCTTCGATCGCAGGGCCTCCATCATTTACCACTCAAAAATTTCCTTCGATCGCAGGGCCTCCATCATTTACCACTCAAAAAATTCCTTCGATCGCAGGGCCTCCATCATTTACCACGCAAAAAATTCCTATGAGTGAGCTCAGAAAGTTTAAGAGCTATAAAAATACTATAAAAACAATAAAAGTATTGTTTACTAGCTAACACGCACAACTTCCGATGGTCGCGGGTTCGATTCCTTGCACGGTACAAACGTTAGTATTCATGAGTATGATTGTTTGTATCGGCCTAGGTGTTGTCTATGTATATTATGTACTAGCTGTACCCGCGATATCGTCCGCGAGGAATTTAATTAATTTTTTCTAAAATAAAAGTAGCTAAGTTACACCTTATTACATCAGCTACCTCACAATAAAAGTCTCGTCGAAATCGGTCCAGTCATTTCAGAGATTAGCCGGAACAAATATGCATGTAGTAAATAACGGTTATTTCAATATTACAAACAGACACTTCTATTTATATATATAGATGTATTTACAAAAAAAGTATCTATGTATTTATATCAGTTGTTGAGTACCCATAACACAAGTTCTACTTAGCTTGGAACAAGATGGCGCTGTGAGAGTTATCTTGGGTTTTTTTTTAATGTGTTAAAGAAGTCAGCGTGGGAAGGCCTCCAGCAAGGTGGACCGACGATCTGGTCAAGATCGCTGGAAGGCATTGGATGCGAGCAGCGCACGACCGATCGTCGTGGAGATCTTTGGGGGAGGCCTATGTCCAGCGACGGACGTCTTCCGAGCTGCGATGATGATGATGTGTTAAAGAAGTTGTATTTTTGCAGGGTTGTCAAAATATTAGGCGGCTATGTCACAGAGGATTCCAGGATTGTCAGCACAGAGAGGATATTGGACAGGTTCCAACAAACTGTAAGTATTAACATCTTATATATAAAATTCTCGTGTCACAGTTTTCGTTCCCATACTCCTCCGAAACGGCTTGACCGATTCTCATGAAATTTTGTGAGCGTATTGAGTAGCTCTGAGAATCGGCCAACATCTATTTTTCATCCCCCTAAATGTTAGGGGTAGTCCACCCCTAAATTTTTTTTTTATTTTAAGGCAATACAACGTTTCCGGGACAGCTAGTATAACTATAAGATTCTACTATTAGATATTATATAGATATAGATATTATAGGCTACTCGCTAGCTACTAATTCTAGCCGCTAGATAATTGATACAAATACTATTATAGATTTTTCGTAAATACCTACATATTATACATAGAAAACACCCAGACTGATACAAACAATCATACTCATGAATACAAATGTTTGTGCCGTGCAAGGATCGAACTCGCGACCATCATAAGTAAGTTTGCTAAACCGCTAGACCACCGATGTAATCTTTATAAGTCGTTTTCGAGAGGTCTTGATATGTTAGCTCTATTATCTATACATCCATACATATAAATAAAATTGGGGTGTCTGTTTGTAATATTGAAAGAATCGTTTCTTAGTACATGCATGTAAATATAAATGCGATACATACACCAAAATAACATTTTTTCAATTTTTGCCTGTTTGTTCCGGCTAATCTCTGAAATGGCTGGACCAATTTTGACGGAACTTTTTTTGGTAGACAGCTGATGTAATAAGAAGTAACTTAAGCTACTTTTATTTTAGAAAAATAAAGTTAAATTCGGACGAAGTCGCGGGTACAGCTAGTTGTTAAATAATAATGTATTATTGACTTAGTACCTGATAGACAACCTATGCGGGACAATAGCGAGTACAAACTATGGTACTCTGATGGTGTCCCGTATAGAGCCGGCGGCGTCCCGCTCCGTGTACTCGGGCGCCATGCTGAAGCCCTACATCCGGAGGGACGCACACGCACAGCCCACGTGGCTCAAGCTTATGGATGAACTACTGATGAAGACCAACAGGTGAGTGATGGTAGTGGTGGACCAAGATTCGATTCTATAGGAGGTGAAATCAAAATATCCTATGAACTGCTGTAGAAGAGCGACAGGTGAGTGACGGCAGTGCTGGACCAAGGTTGGATTTTATAGCATGTATAGTCAAAATATCCGATAAACTGCTGATAAAGACCAACAGGTGAGTGACAGCAGTAGTGGACCAAGGTTCGATTCTATAGGACGTGAAGTGAAAATATCCGATAAACTGTTGATGGAGACCAACAAGTAAGTGACGACCAAGGTTCGATTCTAAAGGAAGTTCGATAAGAGGTGAAATTAATATATCCTATGAACTCCTGAACAAGAGCGACAGGTAAGTGATGGAGTAGTGGATCAAGGTTCGATTCAATAGATCAAATTATCTTATGAACTGCTAATGAAGACCAAGGTTAGATTTATAAGGTTAGATAGGACGTGAAGTCAAAATGATATCAATATATCTTATGAACTGCGTAAGGTAAGTAACGTAAATAATGGACTGAGATTCAAACCTATTGACGTTAAATGGGTTTTAACAGGAACAATTTTATGGTAAATACGACTGACTACAGCTCGTGACCACGGCTAGTGCAACCTAGTAAAACGTCAAGAGAGGTAAATAACTTTATTTACCATAAAGTTAATCGTGTTAAAACCCGTTTAACTATATTTATAATCTGTAATATGATGACCCCATTGCTAGCAATGTAGTAGTAGGGAGGTTGACCTCCACGTGGAATCCATTATGATAAATACCTACTGAATTTTAAGACCACCTCGCGGTTCCCCTGGAACCATCACTGGTACCATCATTGTAAATTCCTGGTGAATTTGTCACGATGGGCTAACTGACCTGACTTCATGTTTATCTTATCCTCCACTGGCTGGTACCCCGCCAGTGTAAACCGTTAACGCAGCCATAACATACTCTTTTCGATATAGACACGTGGAAAACTACAAGCCTCCCCCTCGAGCAACCATAGACTACTCGTACGTCCGGCCGCAGCACATCGCCGCGGTCAACAATCTATGTGCACAGTTCTTCTGGCCGGGCATAGACTGTAAGTATAGGTTAATAAGATTGAAAGCCCATTTCTTTACTATTTTGCTTGACTGATACCTCTCTTCTCTTCTTGCCATAACCAACAAGGTCCATAATTGATCTATTATTTTGATGTATAAGCTATATTCTAAAGTTTCATTAAAATCTATTCAGTTGTTTCATGGGGCTGGGTGGGGCGCTTGCTCCACCTCGGCTCTGACCTGGAAGGTACCTAACCAAACCTAAAAAATAAATTATCTAAGTACTGCGCTACTTAATATACGTAAGAATGTGCATACTCAACGGTCGACACAAAAAATAATATACAGATACAGGGTGCTATATTTTTCTTACGATCTACTCTAATGCTAATAAATAAAAAACCCTAAGGGTCTCTTGGCAGCAGCTGGGCCTTTGCAGCTTCACCGGACGATAGAGGACGAGTGCAGATCACACTCCAAACCCACGGAAGGACTTATGGAGCGGCTTATTGTATCCGTCTGGTAAAAGTTGGCCTTCAGACATTCCATAAGCTCCACGGGGGATCCGAGGGGGGGGGGTCATGGGGGTCGTGACCCCCTCATGGCGCCAAAGCTGGATCTGCCCTTGCATAAGCCCTTCTGCGGGTTTGGAATGCCATCTGCACTCGACCCTACCATCCGTTGAAGCTGTAAATGCCAGCTGCGGCCAACAGCATTAGAATATTACGAAAAGTGAATATCTCCATCATAAGTATGTTGATGCACCAGTGACGGAGTCGCTGCAGTACCCCGAATTCAGCTGCGTGGTGACGTACCGGCGGCTGGTGGTGGGCTGCGCGTTCCTGGTGCCCGACGTGGGCCCAAACGAGGCCTACATCTCGTTCATACTCACCAGGCCCGAGTGGAGGAACGCCAAGATCGGCTCCTTTATGCTCTACCATTTATTACAAGTACAGTTTCTTTTTAATATTTTCTGTATACTACGATGATTTGAGATGAAAATTCTTTATTGTTCTCCTCAGAGAAAAAAAACTAAAATTTTCATACACTATTATGTGCAAATATATAAATATGTATAAACATAAAACAATTAGCAAGAGAAAGAGGAAACATTGGAATCGCTTATCGCTGAAAAGCGATTTCTTCATAACTTCATTCTCACTCGTAAAGGTACTCTGTATATTTATAGAACTAGCGAAGCCCTCGGCATCGTCCGCAGGAAGATTTATATTATGTAACATTTTTATTATGGACTTGATAAAAAGTCTTATGAATTTCTAATACTCTACTATTCGCCAAGACAAAAATAAAACCAATTTTATATTATTTTAAATATGACAAAGATATAATTAAAAAATAAATACTGTTATATTAACATAAAATGTTTTTTCTAGACATGCTCAGGCAAGGATGTTACCCTACATGTGTCACCAACAAATCCAGCTATATTTTTGTATCAAAAATTCGGATTCAAAGTGAGTATTTTAATATTAACATGATTAATTAATTAATACAAAGTTTTATGTAGTGGAAATATTTATTTTATTTGGCTAATAATATAGCCTTCAGTAACTAGATAATCATATATCTTTCGCGTTTTGTTCACATCTATCTTGACTATCTTTCTCGCATCCATAAGACGTAGGAATCCCTTTTTGCCGTTCTCCGCTACAAGCTGGTATTTGATCTCCAAATAATTTTTGGGTATAAGCCTAAGATTTGAACACAACATCTTCTCAGAGTCTGTTAACACTTGGAAGCCAGGCATGTCTATAATTTCTAACGGCAGCGTTGGCCTCTTCATTTTCCTATCTTTTTCAAATATCTTATTCTTCGTTGGCGACTGTTTATTAAACTTCTTTGTCATGATGGTCGTCACATACTTCTGTTCCTTCACCATCAAATCATTCTCGACTTTCAACTGTTTGTAAAGGTTTGCACTATACAGTGTTTTGATCCCAATCTTTCTCGACTCGCCCAACCTCGTTATTCTCTGCATTAATTCCGATTCTAAACTTAATGATTCCATGAAGGCATCAAATTGCATTCCAGTCATGAACTGCATGAATGACGTGAGTCTCTCACATTTGTATCTAGTCAGTGTTGGATTATATTTTTGTAACCATGAAATTAATTTATTTGGTTTTATAAGTCCATGATTTTGTATTATTTTATATCTTCTTTGGCGTTCTCTAAGTCTTGTATTTAAAGCGTTAGCCAATGCTATTTTGAGTGCATCCATTAGATTGTCATCATCCTCAGAGTACTCATCTTCAATATTGAACAAGCTTTCAGCATAGTTATCGTAACTCAATTCAAATTCAGACCTATAAGCATTGTAGCCAGCCAAATGTGGATCTGATTGGTTATTTCTAGGAGGGTTCGTACTTACATCTGAGCTGTACAAATATGGTATTAAAGGTTTAGGAAATAAGGACTGCTTTGTCTCGGGTAGAAGTTTTAACTCTTCATACTGAACATTTTCAATATAATACTTTTTATAATGCTCCTGACATTCTAGCTTCGATCGTGTGTGCACACTTTTGGATATGTCCTCCCAGTTACCATATCCGTATGTTGATAGTGCCGACAGCAGTTTGCACTCCTCCTTTGCTGACCAGTTGCAATTGTCGAACAAAGGAATATCATTCTTACGTACTGCATACTTGTGATCATTTTTGTGCGATCCAACCTCTTTGCCGGACGCAAAGCATTTAGTACATAAATTTGTTTCGCATTCGCCACACTCTATATACGGTTCATGTGCGGTCTCAGTGCACACATCGCATTTTGTTTGCAACAAATCACCGGACATAATTGTTCACAGGTCGAGGAGCTTATTCAAGACTTCTACGAGAAATACTACGATATAGATTACAAAGGATGTCGGCACGCGTTGTTTTTGAGACTCATTAGATGAATTGTTACAATTATAACTTTTATTTATTTACTATGCTGTTTCATTTTTTCCAATGGTACAATAAAATTTGAGTTTACTATAAGTTGAAGAGAAATTGTTTATCAACTTGTAAATCTATTTGCATTCGTTGGGTTTCTTTCCATCGTTGCACATAGGAATTATCAAAAATTAGATGATGAGTACAGTCCACGGTAAGATCGAAAACCTACAAAAGTAAATATTTTAAATTTAGAATTGTTATATACTTAATACATGCAAGCAATGGTAAGCATACATATAGATATATAACCAGTAAATGTAATACTACTAAATAACACAGACTCAATTTATCAAATTAAATTCATAATAAAATAACACACCTCTGCAAAACAAGTAATGAAATTTACAGTGTGACCATATTAAAATTTTCAAATGTACTAGGTAAATTGTGCCAAAATGAAACGAAAATATTCTCGATATTTATAAGCTGAAATTTAATTTCATATTATCTCAAAATTGTTTTGTTATTCTATTTTTTTATTGCAATAAAAAATATGTATAAACTTTATCAAAAATTTAAATATTTTTTGGCGTCATGAGTCATGATAGTATAAGCTGAATAACTCACATGAATAAAGTTTCATTTATGTAAGTCATATAAGCTTATAGTTATTAATATACTATCTATACCCCAAAGTTAATAAAATGTGCATTGTATTAAAAGTTAAATTAGGAATAATTTGTTTGAAAGTATCAAAATTTTGCTAAAACGGCATCTTTAGTCAGCTGTGAAATTAATACTAATGCTAGTTTTGACTTTAAATTGTCATATGTTACATTGACATGAGTGTAACTGTATTATTCTGACATAGTGATTATTTGCTTACTCTTCATTGTCTCACTTATAACAATGCATATAAACATGTATTTTTTAAATTTCTGCGAACGTTACTGTAGCATATCTTAATATGAAACAGTATGTAACTATAGGATGCCTCCCTATAACTACCTTGTAGGGGTTGGAGGGTTGTTAGAAATGTAGACTGTTGACTCCTTTCTGCTAATGTAAGGTTGACCTCCACATCACAACCTAATATATACACATACATGGGGAATTTGACACGATGGACTAACTGACTCGACCTCACGTTCGTCTTACCATCGTCCATTTGTGCCCCGCCAGCGTAAACCATTACCGTAAGCGGATACATCATTCCATTATCATCTATAAAAAAAAATGTTGTTACTTAGTATGCTAATCAGTCGCAAAAGAGTCCGGCCCAAAGAGTAAAGTAAATATACCAAGTTCGGCCTAAACGCAGCGCCCGAACTAAATTGCTCAGAAGGGGTGCGCATTGCTCTACAAGCTTACACAATCGAGTAGGGCAAAATAGTTTGCACTAACAAGATGGTACCCTACATCATGCTTTTTTAGTGGATAACAATCTCACACACCTCGTCTTCTCCACTGGCATGGGGACTGTCTTTTGAAGATTGTTTAATTATAAAAGTACTATATGCTATAAAAACTGTAGTAATTGCATATGGTACAGTAATCCCTGACATTTTTGAAAATATTCTATCGCCTATGTTTATCAAAGATAATATAGGATTCTAATGGTAAAAGAATCCATTATCCACTCGTCAGATGTCCACTAAAACAAAAAATTAAAGTGGGACACCAACCGCTATTTGTTAATAATCGAAAATAGCTACAAAATTTAAATAGGAAAAACCTCAATTTAGTGATAGGCATAATAACGCGTCACTGTCTTTTGTATGACAAATTCTACTGAAGCTTTTTTGAAATCGAAGAAACAACCGGTCGTTCAGTAGTTTCCGAGCCTAGTCAATGCAAGCTAACATTCAAACAATCAAATATTTCCCACTTTAATATTAGTATAGATAATAATTAAGATCTTCCTTGATTTATACTTTTAAAAAAATTAAAGTATTCTCATCTTATACATACTTAAAGTATTTTAATCTAAACAGGATAATATGCTCACGGTAAGTCTCAAGGTATTTCTATGTATATAATCATTAAAAGAGAACGTACTGTTAAAAAAAGCATCAATGAGAACATACTTTTCGTAGTGACGACATGACGCGTTGTCGTTTTCTACAGTGTTTGAACAATGAAATTTATATTTATCCTTGTCTAACTCATGGTTTGCTCGTATAGAGACATATACTTCGTCTCGTTTTTGTGTTTCGTGAAGGTCTCAGAATGTTCTAGACGTTTTAATGTATATATTTTGGCGCGACAAGAGCGCTGCGTTTCATTCATTTATTGAAATTACTAAAGTGAAGTTTTGTGTTGTGATATATATATATATATTTAGGAATAATTTCTCCTATTTATATAATTGGATTGCTGTAACGTGTTCATCAAATCAACCTGTTAATTGTGAGTATAATAAATGTGTACAGTTTCACGTTATAAAGCTGAAAAAGCCTTGTGTTCAATGGGATCATTGTCCATTTCCTAAAAAGGTGTCAATCATGAACTCATACATTACGGTTTTTGTTACAGCATAAGTTTTCACAATGGGAAAAAACTATTATAAAATATTAGGACTAACAAAAGGTGCCACAGATGACGAGATCAAGAAAGCGTACCGCAAGTTGGCGTTGAAATACCATCCCGATAAGAACAAATCTGTTGGCGCAGAGGAGAGGTTTAAGGAAGTGGCAGAAGCTTACGAAGTACTATCAGACAAGAAAAAGAGAGAGATATACGATGCACACGGCGAGGAAGGCCTGAAGGGTGGAATGGGTCACCAGAACGGGCCTGGTGGCGGTCAGTCGTTCTCGTACACTTTCCACGGTGATCCGAAGGCGACATTTGCTCAGTTCTTTGGTTCTGCGAGCCCGTTCCAGGCCTTTTTCGAAAATGGCGGTGGTACCACTATGTTCTTCGACCGTGAAATGGACGTGGATATGGATCCGTTCGCCAACATGGGCTTAGGACAGACGCGGCCCGGTGGTCCAGGTGGTGCTTTCCGCAGTCACAGCTTCAATTTCCATGGCTCACCAAGCAGGAAGGAGAAGACACAAGATCCACCTATAGAGCATGACCTATATGTGTCTTTGGAGGACATAGCTCGTGGTTGTGTAAAGAAAATGAAGATCTCACGGCGCGTCATACAGACCGACGGCACATCGAAGAAAGAAGACAAAGTGCTCACCATTCATGTCAAACCAGGTTGGAAGGCAGGCACGAAGATCACTTTCCAAAAAGAAGGTGATCAAGGCAGGAATAAGATACCGGCTGATATTGTTTTCATCATCAGAGATAAACCACACCCACTCTTCAAAAGAGAAGGCAGTGATATTAGGTACACAGCCAAAATCTCACTAAAACAGGTATGTATCTCAATTGTCTTTTTTATTTTTTCACTTTGTCGGCAGGCAAAAGGTGTTATACCATTCAGCCTTCAATAGTTTATTATTATATTATTCTGGCAACTTTGATTATTTTAAAAACATAACATTGGTATAAATAAATGTGAGACTGACAATAAATATCATTTGATTTGATACTAATTTACATTATTGTTGCATGATATAATTCTATATTACAAATTTTCAAATATCAATAAACTTAACAAATCAGATGAAGTGTCATACAGTAGTGCTAATTTATTAGATGACTGATAAAATATGACTAATACAATTTTCCATACAAACATCTAACATGCTTTCTGTTTTGTTCCAGGCCTTATGTGGTACAATAATAGAAGTCCCTACCATGTCTGGTAACAAATTAACAGTGAACCTGCAAGGTGAAATAGTCAAGCCACATACAGTTAAAAGATTCCCCGGGTATGGGCTACCGTTCCCCAAGGAGCCAACGAGGAAAGGTGACCTACTTGTCGCATTTGAGATCAAGTTCCCCGAACGCATAAGTTCTGGTGTTAAAGAAATACTCTCAGATACTCTACCCAATTAATCTGTAAGACTGCAGAATATCTCATTAAGAGATAGAGTATATACAGTGATATTTTGACATCCCTCTCAGTAAGTTTGCGGTTTGGCAGATCATGCCAAGAAGGCCTTTGGCATGCGTTTGCCTGACCATAGACTAGCAGGTGCTAGAGTATAATTGTTTATGCTCGAATCTTGATGAGACATTCCTAGGAATTTGTAGGATCTTGTGTACTCATGTCGCCTAATTATGTTAGGGGTGTCACTCATGAATTCCAATGTAACATCTCGCTTGTAGAACTGTGTATGAGTTAGCTAAATTGAGTTTGTATGGGTAGAGACTTCTGCGTTATAGTAGGGGTACGTTGAATGGTTGTGAGGACTATTTGTATGTGAAAGTATTTAATTGTGTTAAGTTGTAAATATACTCTTGTAAATAGTGATCTTGTGACAGTGATTGTAAGTTTTAGGAGTAATTGACTATTTAATTGAAGACAAGAAGACATTTTGTGAAAATGTGACAAAAACTGACTTATTACTTATAATTGCTGTTTAATACTAATAAACAAAATGAAAATTATAACTTTGTTTTTTTTTTGCTTGAATAGCAGTCTGAATACTTGATGGTAAGTGGTGGTCACCGGAAATATACATGAACACCAGACAAGTGCCCTTGGGACTACTCGTTAGTTTATTCCATCATTTCTGAGTATACTTACCATACATACTTATCATAAATTTAATTCCTTACTCTCTTCAATTAACCACAGCTTTCAAACGAGCTCTTTGGGCCTGAAATAGATGACAGACTTTGAATAAAGTCTAGGTAGACTTTGTTCAAAGTTGTTTGCTAAAATTAGTATAAAAATGTTATTTTTTTGTAAAAATTGTCATTAGTCGCGCATATTTGATATCGCCGCAGCGTGCGTTCTGCCCACGTAAAAATCTATTTTTGCTGATAGATACTAGGAAGAAACTTCATGTGGGCCGGCCTCAGGAATGTCGACCGTACAGCCATATGATAATTCTGTTTAAATTGAAATTTTATAAAATTATTACTGCCTGATAGAAATGTCAAATACTGTTAACAATAATATTTGCACCCAATTTTTTGTTAAATGTTAAAGTAGATATTAAACAATCATAAACGCATTAGTTTGTGAGTATGGATGGATAGATGTTTTTGTTATTCTTTAACGCATAACTACTGATCGGATTTAGATGAAATTTTACAGTAATATAACTTATACATTACTATATACTATTAACACACAGCCTATAAATTTCACGGCTGAAATCGCGGGTACAGTTAGTGTTTATATAGCAAACTTTTTGTTTATTATATATATATATATATATATAAATAAACAAACTGCTTGTAAGCGACAGTTTGCTTGAATGAGGGAATTATTGTCATTTAAGAATCTCTAAATAACGTAAATATAAACTAAATATATGAATGACAATGATTTCATTGATTGTTTTGTTACTGTTTACTAATATATACTAGGTTCAAATAGTCATTGTAAATTCAAATATATGAGGCTAGAGGTGGAAGGGTATTGTTAGTAATATGGATTAATAATACCATTGTTAGCATTGTACCAGGTTGACCTCCACGCGGTTAGTTAAATTCCTGATGATATTCCACGATGGACTAACTGACCTGACCTGTACTGGTGGCCCGACCTAGCGTAAATCGTAAACGCAGGCGGATGCACCATTCCATAAATATCCATAAAAAAAAATTCCCACGATAGACTTTTATTAACTGACTTGACCTCATACTCATCCTCCACTGGAGCCGACAGCGTATACCGATACCACAGTCAAGAGCACCAATCTATTATCATCCATTAAAAAAAAATGAGGCATAGATATCAAAATATATAGGACTCTTGGACGTCAAAAGAGGCCTATTTCCCCGATTGATTGTATGTATATACAGCTGAAAGAGATTCATAAGTGACATTAATTCACGGCAGCGTGTTGGCACGCCATAGTGCCGCGACCTAGCCGAGTGCGACTCGATTCGGACCTTGGTACCGTACTGGAGACTTGGAGCCAGGAAAATAGCGTTTCCTATTAACAATTACTTACCTAATACTCGATTCCAGGTTGCGCCTTCCGGGAAATATGTTTTCTTCTAATAATAATAATACTCTCGGACAATTCACACAATGTCACCTAATCCCAAGGTAAGCAGAACTTGTGTAATGGCTACTAGACAACTGTATAAATGATGGTTTATTGTCATTTTAAACCATATATTATATATACATAAAGAATAATAATAAATCTATTTATTGGCAGTAGGTACAAGCTCAACTATTGCTGGAGTGATGGGCGCCCAGCGCTGTTTTTCAATTTGTACCTAAATCCTTAGATATAATTTTATGTAAATACATACCTACACAAGATACATAGAAAACACCTAGACCGATATAAACAATCATACTTAGGTTTAGTGCAGACGGAAGTATCTTTCCATAAAAAACTAGTATATAAATACTAGTTTTTTATTATATATATAAATATATAAATTTGTATAATTTACGTGAGTAGTAAAAATAAAGCTTTGGGTGATAATTTGGCAGCGATATATACGACGGGAACAGATACTCGTCTATATGAGTATGTGTTCCCGCCGCTCTTTAATAATAAAAAAATATAATATCTAAAACAAATGGGTTATCTATAGAACGCATTTCTATTTACGGGATATTAATGATGCAGCTGGCTATTTCACCTTAACCGGTTGACAGAGAACGAGTGCAGATGGCACTCCAAACCCGGAAGGACTTATGGAGCGGTTGTAGGCCAACTCCTGTCTGACGGATACGACTTTAGTCTGAGGGCAGCGTTAGGTGTTCAAACCTCGGCATAGGCCGTCGTAATATCGATCCCCCTTTGAATTGGGTTGACCATCTTATCATCTCTATAGCCTCATTGGCTATAAAGATGAGTTTGTATAAAGTTTACTTTGTGCCTTTTGAGATATTACGGTGCTTCAATGTCATTCGGAAACAAATTGCTGGAGAACGTCGGCTACTAGACATGTCCGTCCTAATTTTGATCCCCGTTTGAATTGTACAGAGAATCGATCGGAAGGGAGAACGCTTGTTTAACGGCCGCACACTTACATGCGGAGGTCGAAGCGCGCGCACTGACGTCACTAGCAAAAATACGCGCGCTCCCGCCCCCGCACTCGTGGCTGGAGAAATTCAGATCATAGACACAGAGTAATCACAAAGTCATCCTTATCACTAGATTACACTTACGAGTAAGATAACGAGTGCAATTTCTAACCTAAAAAACGTTAATAGACTTCTCGATGTTAGTACTTAATATAGTGACAGTAATACATTTGTTTTTGTTTCTTTTTGTTCATGTTGTAGGCATTTTATACTAATTAACTTGTGGATAGTGCAAGAGATTCCAAGGTGGAATATAATTAAGCTGTATAGACGAGTAACCGCTGCCTGGTCCATCTGAAACTTATGAAAGAATATTTTCTAGGCTTTGGAAAAAATAGAGCTGTCCTGTATTTTTATTTTTCTATGCTTTAGTTAATTTACATTACGTTATTAAATAGTTATATATACAAGTATATACCAATGTTACTTATATAAAAAATGTAATTAAAATTTACCTAGATATAAAATTCATCTGTCTATCTGATTGTTCTATTAACTAATTTTGACTTTCACTCACAGATAGCTAATGGTATAGATTAGGCTACTTTTATTTAATTTAATTACAAAATAGTCAAATTTCATGTAGATGAAATCGTGGATAAAATCTAGTTCAATAAAGATATATGTATATGTAGATACAGAAGTATGTCTTATGTTGTTCGCGGAACTATTAATGTCTACAGTGTCTACACGTGCGAGTCTTACCACTCACCATCATGTGGTGGCCATCAGCCTGCTTTCTTAGTTTATTAATATGAGACATATTGTTTATTTATTGACCCACTTTCCGCTTTACTAACAATAGTTTCAAAGCTATTACGCTATTAAAAGTTACATTTCTTTGTGAAGGTTTGTTTTCATAAACTACTAATTAAAAAAAGCGCCCCAGACGACCCAGGACAGACCGTACTGGCGAAGATTGACCGGGTTGACCTCAAATAAATGGATCTAAGGCCAGGCAAAAAAAGAAGCTAATTGGAAATAGAGGAAACGCCACTACACATCGTATGTGGTTATAGCCATGCATAAACGAAATATCTCATGTGGAAAGTATACACTCTATCCTGAGGAGATAAAAACCATCGCTCCTAAGGATATCCTTCAATTCTTGTCTCTCACGGGTCCAGGTAGCGAACTTTCAAAAAAGGCGAACCATAGATATACTATGTAGGTCGCAGTGCTACAGGTCTAAAGCACTAACATGGCCCAAATGCTGCTTATTGGCAATCTGTTTATTTTTTTTAATAGTCCAACTTGGTCGTTGTATCCATTTCAAGTAATGAGGCTGGTGAAATGAATCTGAATCTGAATGATCTGCTCTCAGGCGCTGTCTGCAAATCTTTCCACTAGATGATGATAAGATAAGCTTGAGGTCAGGTCAGTTAGCCCATCGTGACAAATTCACTAGGAATTTATCACGATGGTTTCCAGGAGGAACCGCGTGGAGGTCGACCTAACATGGTACATTGCTAGCAATGGGAATTACTAGTTCCCATTACCAGCAATCCCCTTTCCCCCTATGGCACATTGTTAGCAACGGGTTAATTACGGTTAATTACGGTAGCAACGGTTATTAGTCCACATTACCACAGATAACATACTATTCATTTCTAACAATACACTTCCCCCTAGTAGATGGGTATATGAAAATAAGTATGGCTATCCAAAAATGCTATTTAAATGTAAAGAATATGCTATTGAATTCTGTATTATAGATTATTAATAGCCAACAACAATAACTGACTCAACAGGATAATGGTGTTCGTAATAAAAATAAGTTTTATTTCAATGGGAAAACACTTCGGGGACTTGGTCTGTGAGACAGATGCATTACGGTATGGGGCCATCCAAGTTACGTCACAAGTTAAGGTATGGGCAGGGCATCGATCGAATCGATCGATCGAAAGTGTGAGAAGAAAGTGAGAAGTGGTGTCTAAAATTGTCGTGATGTCACAACTAATATCTACATGATTTTTTTTTCTTGTGGATGATAATAATAGTGCACCC